CCACACACCTTTCTCATTCTTCTGTTTCATGCACTTTACAGTCCAGCAATCTTGTGCTACTTCCTGATATATTTCCTGCATAACTTATGCCACTCTAGGATGCAGTACCATTGCTCAGGCTTCTTTTCTACCTCAAACACCTTCTCTTCCACTCCCAACCTTTCCCACATTAATGACCCACCATCTACTCTCCTCTAAGACTGAGCATTGGAGTCATTTAATCCAAGAACATTTCCCCAATGTCCTTACCCCTTGTATATTTTCTTTTCAATGCTCATGAAAAGTTTTAAATCTTGTTTATTTCTGTCTCCCCCCACCATTATATCATTAACAACTTGGGGGTCTAGGATTGTGTTGTGTTTATCTCTGTATTTGTGCACAGACCCTAGCTTACAATTTGGGATTCTTATTTGTTAAATTAAAAATTATTCTTTATGCCAAGGTTATGAAATAGTGCACAATGTACTTCTAGATGTTAAAGATAGCCATACAACTCATAATGTTTTCAACAATGATGGATAGGTGACAACGGTCTCAAAACGTTATAATAGAGCTGAAAAATTCTGATCACCTAATGACATCATAGCCATAGTGACATTATAGCACAATGCATTTTTGCATGTTTGTGAGAATGCTGGCAGAAACAAACCTGTTGTGCTACAGGTTGTATAAAAGTATAGCACAACCATTATATACAGTACATAGTTGATAATAAATGTGTTCCTGAGATATGCACTTATTACACCAACTATCATTTCTTATCATGATTATTTTTATATATTATTACAGTATCATCCTACTTATAAAGCAGCTAACTGTAACACAGCCTCAGCTGGTCCTTCAGGAAGTGAAGGTGATGTTGTCATAGGCGACAACAGCTCTGTGTCTGTCATTGTCCCTGAAGACCTTCCAGTGGGACAAGATGTGGAGCTTGAAGACGGTGAGATTCATGACCCTGACCATCTGCAGCCCAGAACTAATGTGTGTGCTTGTGTCTTAGTTTTTAACAAAAAAAGTTTAAAGAAGTAAGAAAAAGTTAATAGGAAAAATCTTATAGATAAAGATACGAAGAAAAACGATGTACGGCTGTGCAATGTGTTTGTGTCTTAAGCTAAGTGTTATTACAAAAACTTTTAAATAAAGTTTATGAAGTAAAAAGGCTAAAGTTAATTTATTATTGAAGAAAGTGAAATACATTTTTATAAATGTAATATACCCTAAGTACACTATGTTTAGAGAGCCTACAAAGCAATCGGGTCCTGAACCTTCACTCCCCATTCACTCACTGCCTCACTCAGAGCAACTCATCCTGCATGCTCTGTTCGTGGTAGGTGTCCTATCCCATTTTTATCTTTTCTACCACATTTTTACTGTGCCTTTTCTATGTTTAGGTATGCTTAGATACATAGATAATTGCCGTTTTGTTGCAGTTGCCTATAGTATCCAGTACAGTATCATGCTGTGCAGATTTTTAGCCTACAAAAAATATGCTGTGCTATATAGCCTAGGTGTGTGGTAGGCTCTACCACCTAGGTTTATGTATGTATACGCTATATTGTTTGTGTAAAAATATTGCTTAACAGTGCATATCTCAGAAGGTATCTCTGTCATTAAGTGACTCATGACTCTGTATAAAGAAAAGAAGAAAACAACTGGCTTCATTGAACCATGCTGACACATGACCGTGCTCACATTCATCCCGCCCCAAAGTCACATTCTCAGTGCAAGAGTGAGGTGCCATGGGGGCAGAATGTAGGCACAGCTATCTAATTTAAATACATATATTTCTACTGAAGAATATTTTAGGAATTTTTGCATGATAAAGTTGAATATTACTGTGAGCACTCCAAGGGATATAAGGTATATAAGACACAACTTTTTTTAACATTTTGTTTTTGAGTTAGCATACATTAATAATACAAGGGAGTTTCATTGTGGTAATTCTACACATGTATACAGTGTACTTTGAACAAGTTCACCCCTACCAATATATTCCCATTTCTCCCCTTCCTTCTCTGCAAGGCACAAAGTTTTTTTCTTTGGTGGAAAAATAAGCCCAATACTCACAAAATAATCACTTAACAACACAGAGCAGTGTTTACTAAAGTACTAAATTATATTGTATCCTTGTTCAACCTAGAAGTTCAGAAAAAATGTACACTGTAGTTCACTATGTCATATATTGCATAGTATACAACTATACACTCTAGGAGGTATGAAAAATCACAGTTTTCCTGATTCAGTTGTAGAAAGCATTGAAGGAGGAGGAGGTGACTTTTGTGATGTATGTGTGCTGTTCATGAGCACATGGATGGGAATGATTCTCTTCAGTCATTACAGTATTTGTTCTGCAGTAGTAAGAAAAAAATGAAATGTGGAAATGGTGAAGGTAGTGATGATTTTCTCAGCCTGGACCTTTTTTTTATGCACAAATGAGAATGAGGTGAACCCTGTCGGGTACCACACATTGTTTCCAATGCTTCCAGGATGGTATCATTCTTTTACAGATGTGAAAACTAAGGCTCAGAGAACTAAACCATTCACACTGACAGGAAGAGACAGAACAGCTTTTCTGCTTGAAATGCAATTCTCTTCTTGCTCCAGGGTTGCCATAAATGCTACAAGGACACATTTCGGAATGGACAGCTTTCTCTGAGTGTGCCCACTTGTAGCCTCTAAGAAATATGTCTGTGTAATACAGAGAAATCTCACCAGTCAGTAGTCATTGGTCATTTTTTCAGGCTCGTGGGAGACTTGCCTGGAATTTACCTGTCAGTCGTATACTTGAAACAGCTGGAAAATACTTCAGAAGTGTTATTATTTCGCAAAAAAAAAAAAAAAAAACTTTCAGTAGATTTCCAAGGTTTATGATGTCACTTGGCATCCAATGCCCAGATGCTTAGAGAAAGAACATTCTTTTTTGCCATGACAGGCACATTCTTATATTTGCAGATGCTTAGGTGTAGAGAAGGGAGTCTCTGTATACAAACCATCTTTGTCAGCAGTGGACTAGAAGTGGAATGTCTGCTGTTGTAACCCTCTTGAACGAATCTGTTCATCTCAGTTTCCCATGTGATAATTAGATGTGAAAAGGGACCTGTAATAGAAAAACATGAGAAATGGTCACGTTGGGTAAACCATCGCTCTGATGGAAGATATTTGAGGAGATCCAGCAGTTGCCCTCTAACTTACTAAAAGTCTGTTGTTAGACCATCAGAATGATGATTTAAATTAGCAATGTTGGATTCTTTTGAGGTCATGGATCCCTTTGAAAGTTAAATTGAAATTATGAATGCTCACTTCCCCCAGCAATGGCAGATACACTACACATACACACACGCTGATTTCACATATATTTGGGACTTCCCTACCCTCTAAAGTCTTTACCTAATGCACTGCATTAAGAAAAATTGTGAGAACACACTGGCCTTAGCTCAGCAAGAGAAAAACATCATACCTCAATAATGACGTCTTCCCTAATAGTGTGAGCAATGAACTTACCACTTCCAACTTTTAAATCCTTCTTGTTCCAATTTTGTATTCTATATGTGCTATTTTTTTAGATTGTCTGACTCCTCACGAGAACATAAGTTCTGCAAAGATTTTGACAGTCTACTGTGTACACCAGTGCCTAGAACAGTGCCTGGAAGAAAAGAAGTGCTCAGCAAATATAATTGAATGAATAAGAGTACAGAGCTATAAAATACAGCCTGTATAAATCAGTATTTGCTTTATTTATAATAAAATTATATACTTTGTTTCAAGGGCTGTCTTCCATCTATATTATATTAAAATTTATACAACAGAACTGTATTTGGCTTGTTTTCCTTTTTTTTTTTTTCTGAGACAGAGTCTTGGTATATAACTTATACTGTTCTTATGCTTGTGACCATCTTGCCTCAGCCTCCTGAGTGATGGGATTTCAGGCTTACGCCACCAGTCTAGCTGCTGTTTTCCTTTAGATGTTTTTCTTGGTCAGTCTGTTTACTGACACCAGATGACTACCATCCTCTCAATTATCTAAGTTCCATTGACTCTAAGGATAAGATATATACCATGGCAGCAACTTGCAAAATAAAAAAATGCAATACATTTGCATGAAAAATAAACTAAATGTCAGTGTCTCCAAGTATATTTGCTTGAATAGTCAGTTCTAAGCATATAGACATAAATACTGAATATTGAAATATTAGTGTACATAAGCATTTATTATTGACAGTAGCTGCAGGAATATGTAAAGTAAGGGTGACTTCAGTGTTTTAAAACTTTGTTTCCTTAAGTGGTTTGAATATGGCCTCAGCAACTTTTTCCCATTTAAATTACTTCAAAACCATTTCCTCATATATGGTGCAAAGTCAATTTTAGCACTTGTCACAGACTTCTAGGTTAGAAGACTGAATTAGTTGAGTTGTCTTTTACTTTGTAATCTGCATTCCTAGGTTTAATCGAAGGCAGTGTTTTAGCTTTTGTTTGTTTCATTTGAAGGAAAAAATAGCAAAAACAGTAACAAACATTTGATTGTCCCTGGTGCAATTTGAAACCACATCTTGAAACTATAACCAAATAAAACTCCAAAAATCCGATGGAGGATAAATGTTTAAATTTAGCACCGAATATATGCAGTTCACATTTATCATTTCCACTCTGTGTTCACTGCCAGCATGCTTTCAATGTATCTGGCTGATAACAAAACTGGCAGGGACCTTAGGAACAGAAGTTAGTGATATAAAGTAAAGCCTATGTGAATTCATTACTATTGGCTTTAGGCTGCTTGCCTCACTGAGCGTATGCTCTGAAGTGACTTGATTTTTTGACATATCTGCACAATTATTCATAATAGGCATGGGTATAGGTTCCTTCCCCTAGCGTGCACATTCATGCATATTATGTCACATGGGTTGTCTTGCTTCCACATGTGCCATTAATTGGCAAGAATGCTGCTCAGAGTTGGCTGATTAAGAGATAGGCAGGGCAAAGGAACAGGATTTGAGACAGCCCAGGGTTTCCTCTTCAAGTAGGTTTAAAACATTTTTTTTCTCACTAACTTCCTTCCTGTTCTAACTGCTAGTACTGAGAAGTCAGAGTTGAGAGGCAGAAGCACTCCGGACAGAGACCTGAAGCACTGAAGGTGAGTTGAAATGCCTAGGGGTGGGGAAACTACAGGTGGGTTTGGAGTGTAGGAAATCTTTACACCAGGATATTGCCCTTGAAAGTTGTTTTTCTTTTTTTAAGGGGCAATTCTTCTTTAAACCAAACTTTATGATAAGAAAGTCCTAAAGAGGCTGATGGAATAGTTCTGCAGAAAAGGGGAAGTTGGAGCAAGGAATGGTAGCAATTGACCTGGGGGGAGACAATTAGTTGCAGGACGGAGGGCGGAGTGCCCTAACTCAGTCCTCAATGCTCTGGAGAAGGGCTGGAGGGATGCCTGCTGGGGTGGGCCTGGTGGGCTTTTCCGCCAGGTGGAAGCTGGCATTTGGTCACGCTCAAGAACAGAAAGACTATAGATCTAAACTGATACAAGACGTGTTGGTTAATGGTGGCTTGTGCTGGGGTGGAGATGTGTGGTTTCCTGTTTTTAAGCAGACTGGTTGAAAAGAGGAAAAAAGTGGGTCAGAGCTGTCAAATACTAAGCTGTTTCCACTAAAGAATTAATGTGATATAAGAAAAATGCACCATGAGGACTTCCCTTCGAGTGCAAGGGGATTTAACGATCAAGGGGAAATGGAGTGAGACACAAATTATTTACTCATCTGTGACACAGCACAGAATTTCTACCATGAACAAAAACCGTGTATTAAATTCCTGTAGTGGGATGGGCAGAAAGTTCTTCACTATTATTGCCAAAAAACAAGATAGTTCTCTACATTTGAGAAAACTAAAAGCAAACATGGAAGATGCCAAATGATTTATTACAGAGACAGATTCTAGAAGAATGTAAGTGGGTCCAGCTACGACACTGGTCAGTACACCTTCAAACTATCAAGGTCTGAACTGTGGCCACATTAGAAGTGCTTTAGACATGACCTGAAATACTATCCTCCCTTGTAGAGGACTTCCCAGCCAGCATGTTCTGTACATGTGGTGTGTGCTAAAGCTCTAGAACTAGGACAATTCATGGCACAGGTCTGATAGACCACGGGCAACTCTTCATTCAAGTGAGGGAGGCAGAGTAACCTTACATGGAGACCAAGAGTCCCTGAAATCAGGATTGTCACACTGAATCTTCACTGCAGGAACGAGGAAGCCAAGAGGTCAGTGGTGACCTGCTGACTAGGCAGGGGAGGACAGATGAGTGTCATTTTTTTAATTCATTTATTCATATGTGCCTATATTGTTTGGGACATTTCTCCCCGCTGCTCCCTGCCCTCTTCCTCTCCCCCACCCCCCCTTCTCGCTTCCAGGCAGAATCTGTTCAGATGAGTGTCATTAATCTTGCCATTTCTTTTTGTTAAATTTGTAAGAAATTTCTCAGTACAAATTTAGTAAGATGATCCTATTTTTTGTAAAATGTGTGACTTCTGAGAAGTGAATTCTCCATGTTGCACAGATCCAACCCATGAGGACTAACTGTGTTATAAGTGACCAAAAAACTAGCAGACATCTTTCAGGCACTGGAATTTGGTCCTTCCATGTTTTGGAAAGCATGAGTTTGTCCCCAGGGAAGTATGTACTGAGCAATGTCATGATGATGTTTTCACTGGAAGCTCAGCACAGCAAAGTTATTCTGAGAGAAATTTATGGGAACACAATTTGTTGCAAACTTCAGCTAGCAGGAAGAGAGAAGCCCTGGGGAGTATGAATTAAGCAGATAGAGACGAGAACCAACATTTCTTCAGTGCCTTCGATGTGCCAACCCTGATGTTAGAAACTTTCAAATTTTAATCCTGAGGAATTAGGAGGAGAGTATGAAGGCTCAAAAGTTTTCGATAGGTTGACTAAAATCTCATTCTGGTGCAGAAAGAGGATTGAGCAATAGCTACAATGCTCAAAATGACTTTTAGGATGTATCCCATGGAAGAAATTTTCTCTGGTTCCACTTCTGAGCATGGATCAGTGCTTTTGCTGCTAGGATCCTACGTTCAGAGTCTACAGTGGCATGGCCCAGATCTCATTTGTTCATGAAAGTTCAGCAACACTCATCTATACAATAAGTGCTTACAAAATCGCTCTGTGTTGTGTTTCCACAGTCAGAGTTGGTAAAAACTCACTCGGGTTTCCTTCAAGGAGCTGATATTCTAAGTATAAGCAGTCATAAAAATAGTCTTTTGACTTCTGTCTAACATTCCTTGCTCAATTTAAAACTTCAGTGAATATGTTCAAGTCATTGAAATATGGTCAGTTGCCTAGTCATGGCTTCCATAATGTAGTTTTCTTTGAGAATTATTTAAAATGATATTTGTGAAGGACTAACTTCACAAGATGGGCACTGAGAAAAGCATACTGGTTCTGTGAGTTCTCTCCCTCTCTCTTCTATATAAAAATCCAGGTTAGAAGACCATACTGTGAATGCACAGATAGGAAATATGATATCATTTTTCTCATAAAGTGACAGTTAAAGAATTCTCCTAGAAATGTATTTCTCCCTTTGGATGGGTGGTAGTGCTTATTGCACTTGAGAAGATACACTCCTCTAGGGCACTGACTTGGTTTTTCTTACTCAGTTTTGGATGTTCATGGGGTTGAGTTGATAGAGAGAAGCCCTGAGGTGCCCAGGGAGGACCAATTCCCTCATGTTGCTAGAAATACTGAGGAAGGAAGGACTCTAGAACGAACCAAGATGCTTTCTTGTGTCCTGAGAGATAAACATACAATTCCCAATTATGCCAAATTTCCAGGCAGACAGCAGGCTTGTCAGACAAGGTCTGACATGTTCACGGTCTTTTATAAACAGCCTGCTCTCTATGACCTTCTAATGGAAAGCCCCTGCTTCTGGGACTTTTCTCTCATCTCTCTCTCTCTCTCTCTCTCTCTCTCTCTCTCTCTCTCTCTCTCTCTCTCTCTCTCCTTCCCCCCTTATCTTTATCTTTACCTCTACCTACTATGTCAATCCTCATGATACACACATCCAGATGCATAATCTAGCACATTCCCGCAGATCCAACTTTGGATGTGTGTTAAGTCTGCCCTGCATTTGTTCCAGAGTCAGAGGGAATTCTCCCCATCAGCTTCTGTCAAGGTCCACTAACATTTCTCATCATTCACAGAGTGACCTCTGGTTTCAATCAGGCAAGGGAATAATAAAATAAAATCTAAAATTAAATGTTATGTGGAAGTTTTCCAAAGAAACACAGTAGTGATAATCCCATTTTAAATTTGATTCCATGTATAAATAATCCTTGGAGTTCTCAGAACTTCTGGTTTCTTCCCTATTCCTCAGAGGAACAGAATCTATTTTTGATGAGGAAGGAATAGATGTGGCCAGTTCCTTCCCAGGGGAAGCATTTGGTACCTAGGCAGTCAGTGACTGACCTTTATGTGGCACAAAACAGATGGCATTGGGGCCAGGTAGGAAAGAGAGGAAGAGAGCAAATATTTATTGAATGCCTACAAGTGGCCAGAATAGTTCTAGAATTTTCTTATGTTTCCCCCAACTTTTCTGGTGATTAGACGAAGTTTCAGTGAGGTCAATAACTGTGTAGGACATATAGTAAGTCAGTTGCAGATTTTGAACCCCTGGTCCACCTTCCTCAAAGTCCACATTCCATCAGATGCAAAGGCCACTTTTCCCCAGGTTAACTAGATATTTGTTTTCTGGAAACAGAAGAGAGTTGGTTGGTTTTTTTTTTTTAAGAGTCTCATTTTTTCTGGCCCTCAACTCGTTTGGGGAACTGTCCTCCTAGGCCAGACAAGGATGTTCTGTCCTGAGATTTGGGAACAACCTTAAGTCTTCAAAACTGTCGCTGAATCCACAATCAAAGCATTGGTTTATACTAGGATACATGCATGCCGTGAGTAGCCATCATAATTCAATTTGGCATTTTAATCAAGCCTGAGAAAATTAAATCTCCAACTCAACAGTCCAATGCTTCACATTGCTTTGCTAATAGCAAGCCTGGGTGGAGAAGGACGGAGGGTTTCACTGTGAAAATTCATCCGTGTGGCATCTGTGAAGTAGGAAGTAGACATGACTGGAGGAGTGAGCACTTGAAATAGAGCCATGTATGCTTTGGGGCCCAACAGATAGAATCCACATTAATTTGGTTAAACATGTATTTGATTAATTCTCCATTTCACTTTTCCTGTGCAAAAACACAAAACTAAGACCATTCTCTGTGGAAAAGTGAGTACAGAGCTGAGAAAAGAAACGACCAACTCAAATGTTCTATGCTGATGAGCTGGGCTACCCCCAACCCTGTCTTCAGTTCCTCTTTTCCTCTCTCATTTCACAAGCTTCTCCAAATTACAGAGCAGTAGGGTCACTGAATGAAGAAGGGGACTCCAAGATTTAAAGCAACAAATTCACTCTGCAGAGGATGAAACTGGGAGCCCTTGACAGGTTAAGCAACTTGTACACAATAACATAGGTACAGAGTTGCTCTGAAACCATCTTGATGTGACAGTCTCCTGTGTTGAAGCTGTCTCTACAGCATTTGCAAAAAAGCAGTTGCCTCTGCTTGTGTACCACTAGTTAGACTCCCAAGAGGACCAATAAGCTCTAAGTTTGTCCCAACTTCCTAATAAAGACAATTGAAGCAGCACAGCTTAATGCTCAAAAGTCAAACAACCTGGCCTCACACATTCATTCTGTCCTTTATGTGATGTTTTCCTGGGCAGTGGCCTGAGCTGTAGTTTCCTGATCTGCAAAAGAAAATAAATCCTGGCATGGTGGTTCTCAACTGTAATCCCAGCTAGTGGGGAGGCAGAGATAGGAAGGTCGCAGTCCAAGTTGGCAAAAGCAGGAGGCCCTATCTGAGAGCAAAGTGGTAGACCATTTGCCCAATAAGCACAAAGTGAGAGAGAGAAGGAGGAGGAAGAAGGAAGAAGGAAGAAGAAGGAAAGGGGAAGGAAAGGGGAAAATGAATGTGGACATGCTCATAAAATTCTGAGAACCAAATGAGATAATGCTCAAGAAAGCATGTAGCTCTAAATGTGGTAACCATTAAAATTATTATCGATAATAAAAATGATTGCCTTTTAGATAATGGGATTAAAAAACAGTGTGTCAAATCTCCGTAAAAATCCTATTCCCACTTCAGCAGCATCCACAAATAGGAAAAATTGATGTATGTCGTTAAATAACACACTTATCATTTGGGAAATCGCTGTCAAACTATATACCATTTATGGCTAGGGCTTTGGGATAATCTGAGGTTACACAGAGATTAAATGTGAAATAAAATACAGTATAATATTTAATAGTAGTATACTGTACTCAGAAATTTAACTAAAAAAGTAGATGTTTAGGTGCTCCTGCACCATGAAAAAAACAAAGAGTAACTATGCACAATGGATATGCTAATTTTCCTGGTTATATAACCTTTTTACTACCCATACATATATCAAAACACCATGTTTTACATCTTAAATATGTACAATAAATTTTTCCAAAGACTGATCTGTAGGAATCATTTATAATTCTAGATATCAAAAAACATCTTGCTAAATAAATACATTGCAAATATTTCCTCCTAAGAGTGTAGAACATTACTCTTGTTATAAGGCTGTCTTATGAGTAGAAATTTTAAATCTTTGTGTAGTTGAAGTATGCAGTATTTTCTTCTGTCACAGTTTATGCCTTTGTAAAATGTAACAAATAGCATTTACTTCACAATGATTCTAAGGAATAATATATGTAAAGCACTTAGCACAAAATTGCTAAATTTTTGGCCCATGACAGGAGCTTAGTAACTATTTACTGCTATTATTATTGTATCCTTTATTGTGCAAAGGCATGTACAGTGAAAGAAATTTTATGTCTGAAAATAAATAAAATTAAGTAAGACTTAGACTGTATCATCTTTTGAGAATTCATACAAATTTCAAATAATGAAACAGAGATAGACATTCTCTTATTTACATAAGTGAAGTAATGTAATGGGATGTCTAGTAACTTAGCTGACTGCAGCTCAGGAAAAATCCTTAGGTAGAGGCTTACAAAAGTAAAGTATCCAGGAGATAGTGTCTGTAATCCCATCTGCTGTGATCAGGAAAAGAAAATCCACAGTGGTTGACACGTTTGCTCAGGAGATCACCATCAAAGAGTCAAAACCAAACTCAGAATTTATTGGTCCTCTTGGGAGTCTAACTGAGAAGGCCAGTTCCATGAGGAGATAATCACTCAAAATCAAATAGATTGTGGCCACTGGGTTCCTCTACCTGCACTCCTCTGGCAGACATTGTGGTGATGCTCCCTGAGACACAGATGTCATCTGGTATCTTCTTTCACATCATCAGCAGTTTAGGTGGATGGACATGGTCCTGAGCTTGAGGCTCAGTGTCAATGACCTGACCGTCCTCACAGGGGAGCAGGCTTCCTCTGTAATACACAACTCATTGCTTCATGTTTCCAGGAAGTTACAGTTTTAAGGTCATGTTCCTAATTTATTCTTACTCCAATAAAGTCAATGAAAGAGTTCAGAATCCGTGAACCACTGGATCATTAGCACAGTTTTGTGAGTTTATTCCTTTTTTTCCCATGGTTAAGAATCTTGATATTCATCAGGTTTTTAAAGAGACCTATAGTCTCCAAAACAGATTAAGAACCAGTGATCAAAGTGACTGGGCCTTTTTAGTGTGGCTGAATTACCCAACTTCCAGCCCCTTCTTCATTCTGATGAGTATCTTAAACATCAGTATGTACTAAAGTGCAATGTCTTATAAACAGTAGGTGCTCACCAACTAGTTGTGACCTAGATTTTTCTTTAGATAAATTTTTGGCAATACTGGGGTTTGTACTTGGGTCCTTGTGCTTGCTAGTCAGGAGCTCTACCATTTGAGCCATTCCTCTAGCCTCAATTTTTCTTTAAAAATCTTTTCCTAAGAACTGCTTTTCCAATCCTTTATTTTCTATATTATCACATTTTCATCTTTTTCTAATCAACTTTCAGAGCAAGCTAGTTTTGGATCATCTAGCCTCCTGCCATTTTTTCTGATGCTATAAGTGGATCAAATTTTCTTAATGACTGTACCAGTTTGATACAGTAATCCCACATTATCCTCCACTTTTCAATGTCTTCAAAATGTTATATCCCATTTTTATGAAACAATTACATTTGTAACAAATCAGGAAAATATAGAACTGACATAATCTCAGATTTAATAAGATTAAAACCTCGATGGCAAATGAATTGATTTGCCAATCTCTCTCTCTCTTCCTCCCTTTGTCTCATTCTCCTTTTAAAAAACTGGTACTTGAGGCTTCAGAATTACAGTTCTTTGCAGATCAATGAAATCGCCTTGAACTAATGGCTGGGTGTAATGTTACCATCTGATAAGCTTCAAGTAGGTGACTTGTTAGAATGAAGTGATATATATTCCAGAAAGTTCTGCCCATGAGAGCTGAGACACTGTTACCCATATAAGTAGCCTTGCTGATGCTCTGTCAGGTTTGTTATGTGGCCTCCACATTGCTTGTCCATTAAGCTCCTAGGGCCACCAGATGAGAATGCATCTCATCTGATCAGAATTACCTGGTTTGCTCTTCATCTGACCCTTACTGATTGTCCTTAAAATAGTCACAACTTATATCCACCCGTGCACTCTTTTGTTCCAAACAGCACATTCATTTTCCCTGATTGTTGTTTGAATATGAGTTAGTCATTATGATGAGTGATGCAAGCTCTTCAGCTGAGACATGAGTTGCCATAGGAACAGGCTTACCTGTTTCCTTCCTGCACAGGAAGTGAACCTGGGCATTGCAATGCCATTTTCAGAGCTGGTCAAGGCTCTCTGTGTTTGGTTTATTATTTAACTGGAAGAGAAAAGATGAACCAAAGGTTATCCATCCATCCTTCCTTCCTTCCTTCCTCCTTTCCTTCCTTCCTTCTTTCTTTCATTTTCTTTTTGTTCTAGTAAAATGTCTTTGGGATTCATTTCTAAGTTATCTTTCTTCCTATCACCAATGATAGTGACATTGAAACCTAATACCACAACTGATTTTGGACAGAAATATCTTCACTCTTGGTAGATGTTACAAAGGTTTGCTATGTCATTCAGAATAAAATGAGATAGATATTGTCTTATAGGTTTATCACTTAGGAGCAATGAAAGAGGTGCCCATAGGAGAAATGGTCTCCTTGACCAAATATCTCCCTGGAAGTCATCTCTCATTGATGCCAGCCACAGGACCTAAAGTTCACAGCTACAAGGACTACTCTCTTAACCTCTGGATCTCAATTTTCTGAATGATTAAATGAAAGGGTGGACTTTGTCTCCTTTAAAGTTCATTTCAGCTCTGAAAAACTGTGTCTACATATGCCCTCAGTCATTAACACTCATGTGCATTATTTTACTAGATATTAACTCAGTGCTTTTACACAAGACAAATAAATGTAGGTGATAATAAATGGAAAAAATAGAAATACCCTAAAGTCCACCCAGGTGGGACCTTAGAGCATAAGGTCATTGCAAACATGGTAAAGGTAAGGGAGGGACTCAAAAGGAAGTGGGTCCAGAGAGGAGAAGTGGAAAGAAGGCTACTGAAAACAACCTGTATTTATAATTTTGTCTACAGGAATTTAAGAGTCCTTCGCTATTTTGTGGTATATCAAAAAGAACAGAAGATTTTTAGACTTAGAGCCTAATAAATCAACCACTGGAACTACCCAAGTGTTATGGGGAATTCAAGGAAAACCTAGAACCTGAAATGATTAGCAGTGTTGTATGGGAGCCATTCAAACACCTCAGACAGGTATCATACAAGTCTACAATTGTTCATGTGTCACTTTTGAGGTGTTGCAGTGTTGAGAGACTCATTTAGTGAATGGGAAAATGCCAGCCATGTCTTTGGCAGGGACTCTGCCTATCCCTTTAAATCACCATAACTGGTGGTGTGCATGCTGGGAGTGCTGACACTACCAGCAAGGCTGGCTGGATTTGAAGGACTGGTCATTTCTACAATGATTTGAACTAGGCTGTTGCTCATTGGGGTGGAACTGCTTGTATCATGTAGCTTCACTGTGGTATATTGTTCACAAATGAGTTCTTTCTTGTTAGTTTTATTAAATGACTAAGAAATAGTCATTACTGTGAAGAGAAATTCAGGCAGGACACAGAATATAATGTTATATTCTTACTTCATGAATCGTAATGAGATCGAGTTAAGGAAAAATCTGGAAGATCACTGATGATTGCAGAAGTCCATTAGGACAAGGATGATGTTAACAGAAGCCCCATAAATACCTTAGATATCCATTAACCTTGGCTAATGGCCCACCATCCTCTCTCTCTGAAATAGATCAAGATGACCGAAAAGGATCCAGAGCCACATCTGGAAGAGGGTGATGATGACCTGGACAGCAAGCTCAATTACAAACCTCCACCTCAGAAATCCCTGAAAGAGCTACAGGAGATGGACAAAGATGATGAAAGTCTAACAAAGTACAAGAAAACCCTGCTTGGAGATGCTCCTGTGGTAGCAGGTGTGTGTGTGTGTGTGTGTGTGTGTGTGTGTGTGTGTGTGTGTGTGTGTGTGTGTGTGTGTGGTGTATGAAGAAGGGGTCAGGTGAAAGGCCCCAGTAATGGCATATACTTCCACCACTTGGAAGCAGAGGCAGAAGAAATAGTACCAACTCCAACTGCTTGCAGTGTTAGGTGGGTGAAGCACAATTTATACATGCTGAATAACATCATGAACTGTATAATTAAGTCTTCTTTAGAGATAGAGTGCAAGTCAGCAGTGAGCCTGGAAAAAAATTATCCATAGGGAGAATTTAGAAAGAATTCCAGACCACCATTCAGAATGGATTCTCTTCTCTCCACCTTTCTTTTCTTTCTCCATCTCAGTACTCCCTAACCATTCGTCTCCCTTACACACAATGGCAGAACAAGACATGACCAAAGATATGAACAGTAAGTAAAGTACCTTACTATAAGCCACTTGTGAAATAGTTGATGCTAATCGTTAAAGTGAGCCTCCAAGTTCCTGAAGCAGAAATAACATTGCTGCAATTTATAAGGACATCAACACCAAGCTTGGTGAATTTGGCTCTTCCATTTCTATTTCTACGCCACAGAGAAATAGCACTTTTCTCTTTATAGTCTCTCTGTTCTCGCTTGAAATGCACACACACTATACGAATGTCTCTTCCCTGTGCTTACATTTTTCTTTTGAATCCTACAGATCCAACAGTCCCCAACGTGACTGTCACCCGGCTCAGCCTGGTTTGTGATAATGCACCAGGACCAATCACAATGGACCTTACTGGTAAGTGGATACATCTGTACTGTTAAGAGGAGCCTAAGAGATCACAGGGAAAACTTGGTCTTTGTCTTCTGTTCTTTACAAAGAAACTCCTAATAAGGTCATTCCTAAAGATACATAAGCTGGGGCCATTTCACAAACCATTGCTGTTAAAGTGCACTGTATTTGCCATGTTTAATGAAAGACCCAATCTCTAACTCTAATTTAATTGAAGAGGAGGGTGTCTGACTTTGATATATTTGCTTGTATCATATTTCTTCTGGTCTTTATTTCCACATAATAGCAGGCTAATTACTATGCATGTAAGAAAGATTGCAGATGGAAATATTAATCAAGCTGTGTGCTTCTGGAGTTGTAACATTTATACAGTCTAAATTTTTAATCTAAAGTCTAAAGTATTAATCTTATAGCAGCTACAAACTTAGTTGAAGTTGAAGAGCAATCCAAGACTTCCTGAATAATGCTAGAAATTCCATTGTTAAAATCAATTTAAGCTTAAAACTCTGGTTTTATTACATAAAAGTCTCCTGCAGGATTCTAGGACATAAGGCTTAGCAGTGAGGAACTTCCCTCTCACAGGACATATGCTCACTTTACCTCATATGGACTTTTTCTATCATAGGGAGGAAATAAGAAACTGAAAAGATACACTTCCTGTTCAGCTGAAATCATTAGAACAGACACACACACACACACACACACACACACACACACACACACGTCTCCCATACTCTCCAAGAGAAAAACTCCCTTTTCCTCCCAAAACTCAGACTTCTTTCTGTGCTAAATTACGGAATGTGAACAGGTACAGCCATCAGTTTGCAAGATAAAGGCCAAGGAAATTTGTCAGAAGGGCCTGACGACACTAGAGGCAAAGTGTCATGTCTGTCCCCCTCTCCCAGCAGAGAAAACCCAAATTTGGTTTTCTGTCATGCTGAGTTGAATCCCAGGAGTATAATGCCTGCTCACGAAGCAAAGCACATTAACAAAGCTGTGCAAAACACAAACATACACACAGACACGTGTGTGCACACACATACAGATAAATTATACAGGACTGCATAGGGAAAAGAACAGAGCATGATTACGTCCCTAAACACAGGAATCAGGGGCAGATTCTGGTTTTATGAAGCCTGACATTTTTATTAACTTAAATGATTTTCCTCAGGAAAAATAATATGAAATTGTAAATACAAATGCAAAAGTTGGTACAAATGTGAATATTTATTTAGAATAATGAAAAGGAATCAAAACAAAAAATTTAAGAGTCTGAAAATATCACATACATTACCAAATGTAAACAAAGAGCTTACACTCCTATTTAATATTTTTCTTATGTTTATGTTTTTGAGGGATAAGGACAATTTCTTCAATCACTTGTTCATCTGATCACAAGTGTGTGCATAAATTTTCATGGGAGGGAATAAGAAGATAACTCAAATTTTCCTCCAGAAGAGTTGATTTAAATTACTACTGACAATTAGAAAAGGTTTATCTGCATTGGTCCAAGTCAGAAGTTCTGGAAACAATGTATCTTCGTAACTCATTAGTAGTGATGTTATATATATTTTCAAACATTGGAGGGGGGGACTACCATGTTTCTTCCATAACTGAGTTGTGAGATTTCAGGCTGTGTGTGTGTGTGTGTGTGTGTGTGTGTGTGTGATGTGGTTCTGCATGCAGGTACTAACCTCAAATTGACTTGAGGTCCCTATGGGCCATGTTACCCAGAATGACCCAGCAAATGGCTCTGAAGCTTCGACTTCTCTCATCTCTTTCTATAACTGCTTCTGAGGAGACTAAACTCTTTCTAAATCCTTTTCTACAGGGGATCTTCAAGCCCTCAAAAAACAAGTCTTTGTGCTAAAGGAAGGTATTGAATACAGAGTGAAAATTAACTTCAAAGTAAGTATCGTTCCATGTACACTCTTATGAAGTTTAAATGTTTCCTATAGCCAATGACTAGATTTCTTGTGTTAGCAGGTTGGCATACTTTTCTTTATTTCTTTTCCCTCTGTCCCCAGTCCAGGGTCTGTAATGTCCTCCCCCAATCTTTAAGCTCCAAGCTCTACCTGTGGAGACCCACGCTTGCTTCATGTCTTCCTCCGGCCAGTACACCTCAAGTCATCCTTTGGTCACTAAGTCAGCAGGATCCCTCTCTCTCTGTGAATTCCTGATACTCATATACAACAGGCACACACTTGTGAATTGTTCCTTTGTGACATTTCTTCCTTATACAACCAAAGGTCCTTGAGGAAAGGTGAAATTATAAATCCCTTCTTTCCAATATTTCACACAAAACTTTGTGCTTGTTAGCTATTTAGTGAATAGATAGTAAGAAACAGACAGATAAACGAATTCACTGATAAGAAAGGAAAACAGAATACATAGGGCCTCGGCTCTAATTGTATAATGATGACATAAATCCAGGCAGTGTGACCTTTGCTAAATAACTGAAAATTATCATTAAAAGTTGTGCAGTAGGTGATCAGGTAAGACCAAAACTAAATAAGGAATAAAATCTATGACTAACCATATATCCCAATGAGAAGCCACAATCACAAGAAAAATAACCTTGACTTTGAAAGCAAATAAGTTAGAAATGCACTGTTTGTGTTCCATGGTTGGTGTTTACCCTGGCTGCCCATCATTTCCACTCAGTCATGTTCTCCAGGAGGACTCCACAGGGAGCCTCATCTGCTCCCTCTGTGTGCGTGTTGGGCCCTTCTTTCCTCCAGGTGCAGGAAGTGATTCAGGGTGAATAGGTTCTCCCTCTCCACCACATACGAATACGCCTCAAAAAATTCCATTCTGCAAACATTGCTTGACACCTACCTACTCTATAATTGGCATTGAACTGTGGGTCACTATGTTTCCTGTCATATTGTTTATTACTAGAACACCTGGGGATTGGTAAAGTACTTTATCCAAATACACCTACAATTGCACGTCAGTTCCATTTTTAAGCATTTGTGTTATTACATTGTCAACATAGAAAGCAAGCTTTGATAAAGGAAATGTGATAGGTAAATTTTGATGTGAACAAGATGAGAAGGGATGATCTGAAAATGCAATAGTGTGAGTTCTTGGTGGTCATAATTGTACATTAGGGTGCAGAAAGGGGTCTTTGAGCCTCATTCACTTCAGAGGTTTGTCCTTGTCTCCAACAGGAGAAAGACCACTCTTTGTAACCCATGTAAAATTGATCCACCCTGTGGCCTGTCCCAGCTTGGAGCTACAGTTAGAGGAAACACCAGATCACGATAGAAAATAATTAAAGAGAAATTTAAATCTTTACTAATGTCTCTTGACAAACATTCAAGGAAATCCCCATTTACAATAACATTTACACATCCTACAATCCTCTTTCATTCTCTGTTAGTTGCTCTCTGTGTTCTCTTTCTTTTCCTAAACTTTGTGACATTCTAAAGTCGTGGCCAGGGTGATTCTTTTAGTTTCTCCCTCCCCTTTCCTTTGCCTTCCAAGGACATAAATAGTACTTCTCGGTACTTTCACAGCTTTCACTGCTATTCATGCCACCAAGACTTACTCTTTCTGGGGTGGGAGACACAGCGGAGAAGGAATATGGGCAAAAGAAGAGGATACCATAAATACTCATACTTTTCTTTTTACATGTAAGCTTATATTTTTTTTTACTATGATCCATCCCAAATGTGTTTACGTCAAATGGATCCTCTGTAGAGCAATGTTTAAACAGTAGACACTGTTTTGAAGTCCTTATTGCTACCCCCACTACCATTCCTATTCTTAAGTCCTTTTCCCACCTGATCTCATCCCCCATGAGCCTCAAGGGTCAATCTTCGGACTTTAGAAAGATCTATTCATTTTCCCACTTCTCATAAGCTAGATCTGGGAGTCAGAGTAGTTAGAAAATGTGGGCTTCCTTTTATCAGTCTCGCCATTGAAGCTATTTTCATCCTATCTGCTTTTAGTTGTTTTATACTGCATATTACCTAGTGACAGTCTGGAACCTAAGCCCCACTGCTCTGCTACCTTACCGCCACCAGAACAAAAGACAGCACTAGTATACTAGTTTAATTTGTCCCCGAGGGAGCTGTAACTGTTGTTGGGGAAATTTATTTGAAGATGCCTTAGTTCTCCATGTTGCTAAACAGTTACCCAATCCATCCAGTTAATGATTCAATGTCCACTATAATTTGTTTGTATAGACATGACTACTGTGTGAAAATAACAAAACTCAGCTCAATCCTAGGTAAAATGAGTCATGGAAAAACAAAGTGTTGGTCTGTCTCTATTTTCATTCTGCTTTAGTGGATTTTCTTTGAAAGTCTTGGGAAAGTAGCAATAGCTCAGACAACATGTGACAATGACACCCCAAATGCTTGCCAGATGCAAGTGGATTTCATCCATTATTTATGGAAAGGATGTTTTCCTGTGGCCCATTGCCTCACTTCTAGACTCCAATCTCAGTTAAATGGCAGACACATTATTTTCTAGACCTAGTTTTCCATTACTGCCTTTCTCATGCTATTTTCATAGGCTAGGTGGATCATTTCGGAGGTTAGGGTTTTCATATACTTACATAATATTTTTTCATTGGTATTTTTATAACCTTTCCTAAGACAATGGTGTTGTTCTGGCTGGTAGTATTGAGGAAAGGGAGCTGAAGATTATTCCTTAGATCTTAGAGGAAGGAAAAATATAAAGATAAATAAGTAAATATTTTAATTAGCAACTCCTTTCCTCCACCAAGAATAAAAATTATTCAGTGATTAAAATTGGTTTGGCAACATCGAGACTTGTGATCTTCTCTCTCTGATTTCTGCCTCACAATCACACTAAATGATTATCCAAGTATCTATTCTAATTAAATCTTTAGTCCTTTCATCTTCAGAGAATTAGCTAGACAGGATCATCACAAAAGATAAGGAAAAATAAAGACTCTAATCTGAATTGCTTGGATCCTTCTTAACTATAGGTGAACAAAGATATTGTATCAGGCCTGAAATATGTTCAGCATACCTACCGGACTGGGATGAAAGGTAAGGGACCCCAGACTTTACACTGTCACAAATTGCTTCTTATTAATACTTCCACCTCTGGTTATTAAAAAATCTTTAGCATGGAGTCTTAACAAGAATCTGATAAAAGCTGTGGGTGCTCACTCTAGGAAAAAGCATACCAGTACCTCTGACCTAGATATTATTGGCAAAGGCAACATTCAGGATATCCAGTTTGAATAGGGTAAGCCACTAACCATCAGCATTCAACTTCTAGAACTCAACTTTGATACTTATATATGGAAACAGTAACTAAGATTAGCTTGAATGAAACAAAAGACATAAAAATACAAAAGTAATAACAATAATAATAATAAGGCAGTTCACAGTATAAAACCCATGTCAGAGAATTTCAACTCAGAAAAGTCTTGCCTAATGATGTATTGTGTTGGGGGTGGGAATTGTGTTCACTCTCCTAAGAAAAGCATAGGAAAAAAAATTACTCTTTCTAGAACTGAGACAAGTTGTCTAAAAAACAACTATTTACTCTGCTGTTGTTCTGGGCATGCCTTGGGAACTTGTCTCCAGATTTCTCTCACTAACATGAGCAGGGAAAAATAAAAGTAGGAAGGTGATAGAAACACTTTCACAGTTGCTTCTTGCCTGAAGGCCTCTCTGCCTCAGAGGTGGGGAACAGTAAAGCATAGATCAATCCTACCAAACAAACAAAGGAGAGGAGAGAAATTGATAAATTTGTATGGCATAAGAACCAGTGAATTAATCAAATCCCAGAGAAGATTGTTTTGACCTGAACGATATTGATTGTCCTTTCCAATACTTAGTCATATTTAAAAAAAATAGTTCAGTTTCCTAAACCACTGAAAATATGCTGACTTACTTTGTCGAGGAGTCCATGACATGTCTGTAACTTTTCCTTCAAACTTTTTAACACTTAAAAGGCCAACTATATATTACCTGTCTAGCTTTTTACCTTTATTTGTATTTTCTAAATATGAATACTGTTCTTCATACACATCTCAGTTACTCATCTATAAATAAATTTGGTTGGCTATTTTTGCCATTTGTCCCAAGTCCTCACATTTTTACTTTTTACCAACTTCCTGATTTTTCCTTTTCCATCCAATTATTCCATCCATAAATTCTGCCTATTCTCATCATCAGCTGTCATTATATCTCATCCAACCAATATGTTCATAGAATGAGAACTCATAGATAAGAAATTCTTAAGTTTATTATATAGATAAAGAAATAAAGGCCCAAAATATTATGTGCTTAGATGCAGGGTTGAGACCAGAACTCAGGTCTCAATTTGTTTGGCTTTGATTAAATGGTGTCATCTGCTACATCTCTCTAAAAAGAGTCTTGATCCCCAACTATTTAAGGCACTGGTTCCCCCAACTTTCTTGATAAGCAGAACCAGCTGGGATGCTTTTCTTATAACACTAATTCTTGGGACCTACAGCAGCCCTTTGGAAGTGGTACAAAATAAACTATTATTTAGATCATATCCTAGGGCACAAAGCAAGCCTTAGTAAATATAAGAAAATAGAAATTATACCATACCTTCTATCTGATCACAATGCAATAAAACTAGAACTTAACAACAAAAATAAAGACAAAAAACATGCAAACAGCTGGAAACTGAATAACTCATTGTTTAATGAAATAAAAGGAAATTAAAAGGTTCCTGGAAGTCAATGAAAATGAAAACACAGCCTACCAGAACCTATGGGACACAGCAAAGGCAGTCCTGAGAGGAAAATTTATAGCCATGAGTGCATATATTAAAAAGACTAAAAGATCTCAAATCAATGACCTAATGATACATCTCAAACTCCTACAAAAACAAAAACAAGCAAATCCCAAAACAAATAGGAGAGAAATAATAAAAATAAGAGCTGACATCAATGAGATAGAAACCAAAAAAACCATACAAAGAATTAATGAAACAAAAAGTTGGTTCTTTGAAAAAATAAACAAGATCAACAGACCCCTGGCAAACCTGACTAAAATGAGGACAGAAAAAAACCCAAATTAGTAAAATCAGGAATGCTAAAGCGGAGATAACAACAAACAACATGAAAGTCCAGGAAATCATCAGAGACTACTTTGAGAACCTATATTCAAATAAATTTGAAAATCTTGAAGAAATGGACAGATTTCTAGATACTTATGATCATCCAAAACTGAACCAAGAGGACATTAATCACCTGAATAGATCTATAACACAAAATGAAATTGAAGCAGCAATCAGGAGTCTCCCAGAAAAGAAAAGTCCAGGACCTGATGGATTCTCTGCTGAATTCTACCAGACATTTAAACAAGAACTAATACCAACCCTCCTTAAACTGTTCCATGAAATAGAATGGGAAAGAAAACTGCCTAACACATTTTATGAAGCCAGTATTACACTTATCCCAAAACCAGGCAAAGACACCTCCAAAAAGGAGAACTATAGGCCAATCTCCTTAATGAACACTGATGCAAAAATCCTCAATAAAATAATGGCAAACCGAATTCAACAATACATCAAAAAGATCATTCACCACGACCAAGTAGGCTTCATCCCAGGAATGCAGGGGTGGTTCAACATACAAAAATCAATAAATGTAATATACCACATTAACAGAAGCAAGGACAAAAGCCACTTGATCATCTCAATAGATGCAGAAAAAGCCTTTGATAAGATCCAACACCATTTCATGATAAAAGCTTGAAGAAAACTAGGAATAGAAGGAAAGTACCTCAACATTATAAAAGCTATGTATGACAAACCTACAGCCAGCATTATACTTAATGGAGAAAAACTGAAACCATTCCCTCTAAAATCAGGAACGAGACAAGGATGCCCACTGTCTCCACTCCTATTCAACATAGTACTGGAATTCCTAGCCAGAGCAATTAAGCAAGAAGACAGAATAAAAGGAATACAAATAGGTAAAAAAACTGTCAAAATATCCCTATTTGCAGACGACATGATCCTATACCTTAAAGACCCAAAAAACTCTACTCAGAAGCTTCTAGACATCATCAATAGCTATAGCAAGGTAGCAGGATATAAAATCAACATAGAAAAATCATTAGCATTTCTATACACTAATAATGAACAAACTGAGAAAGAATATATGAAAACAATCCCATTTACAATAGCCTCAAAAAAAATCAGAAAGTATGTGAATGACCTCTACAAGGAAAACTATAAACTTCTGAAGAAAGAGATTGAGGGAGACTATAGAAAGTGGAGAGATCTCCCATGCTAATGGATTGGTAGAATCAACATAGTAAAAATGTTGATACTCCCAAAAGCAATCTACATGTTTAATGCAATTCCCATCAAAATCCCAATGACATTCATCACAGAGATTGTTAAATTTTATGGAAACACAAGAGGCCACAAATAACCAAGGCAATACTCAGTAAAAAGAACAACGCTGGAGGTATCACAATACCTGACTTCAAACTATATTACAAAGAATAGCAATAAAAACAGCATGGTACTGGCACAAAAACAGACATGAAGACCAGTGGAACAGAATAGAGGACCTGGATACGAAGCCACACAACTATAACCAATTTATCTTTGACAAAGGTGCTAAAAATATACAATGGAGAAATAGCAGCCTCTTCAACAAAAACTGCTGGGAAAATTGGTTAGCAGTCTTCAAAAACTGAAACTAGATCCATGTATATCACCCTATACCAATATTAACTCAAAATGGATCAGGGATCTTAATATCAGACCCCAAACTCTAAAGTTGGTATAGGAAAGAGTAGGAAATACTTTGGAACTAATAGGTATAGGCAAGGACTTTCTCAATGGAACCCCAGCAGCTCAGCAACTAAAAGATAGCATAGACAAATAGGACTTCATAAAACTAAAAAGCTTCTGCTCAACAACAGAAATGGTCTCTAAACTGAAGAGAACACCCACAGAGTGGGAGAAAACCTTTGCCAGCTACACATCAGACAAAGGACTGATAACCAGAATATATAGGGAACTCAAAAAACTAAATTCTCCCCAAATTAATGAACCAATAAAGAAATGGGCAAGTGAACTAAACAGAACTTTCTCAAAAGAAGAAATTCAAATGGCCAAAAAACATGAAAAAATGCTCATCCTCTCTAGCCATAAAGGAAATGCAAAATAAAACCACACTAAGATTCCACCTCACCCCTGTTAGAATAGCCATCGTTAGCAACACCACTAACAACAGGTGTTGGCGAGGATGCGGGGAAAAAGGAACCCTTTTACACTGCTGGTGGGAATGTAAACTAGTACAACCACTCTGGAAAAAAATTTGGAGGCTTCTTAAAAATCTAAAGATAGATTTACCATAAGATCCAGCAATACCACTCTTGGGGATATATCCAAAAGAATGTGACACAGGTTACTCCAGAGGCACCCGCACACCCATGTTTATTGCAGCACTGTTCACAATAGCCAAGTTATGGAAACAGCCAAGATGCCCCACTATACTGACGAATGGATTAAGCAAATGTGGTATTTAAACACAATGGAATTTTACGCAGCCATGAAGAAGAATGAAATCTTATCATTAGCAAGTAAATAGATGGAACTGGAGAACATCATTCTGAGTGAGGTTAGCCTGGCCCAAAAGACCAAAAATCATATGTTCTCCCTCATATTCAGATAATAGATCAAGGACAAACACAACAAGGGGATTGAACTTTGATCACATGATAAAGTGAGAGCACACAAGGGAGGTGTGAGGATAGGTAAGACACCCAAAAAACTAGATAACATTTGTTGCCCTCAATGCAAAGAAACTAAAGCAGATACTTTAAAGCAACAGAGGCCAATAGGAGAAGGGAACCAAGAACTAGAGAAAAGGTTAGTTCAAGAAGAATTAATTTAGAAGTAATATACATGCATAGGAAATCAATGCAAGTCAACTCCCTATATAGCTATCCTTATCTCAACTAGCAAAAACCCTTGGTCCTTCCTATTATTGCTTATACTCTCTCTGCAAAATAGCTTTTGCCTGGTAGCGAGGGAGTAGAAGGGGAGAGAGAAGGGGCAGGAGGGACAAGGGAGGGGGCAGGGGGAAGGGGGGAGAAATGACCCAAACGTATGCATATCTGAATAAAATAAAAAATTAAAAATAAAAATAAATAAATAAGCTATTATTATAAGGTCCTGTAATTTAAAAAAAAATTAAGAAAAAAATGCCCCAAGTAAAACTGGTGTTCAGCTAGGCTTGGAAACTATTGCTCCTGGCTTCCATTGATATATGCTATACTCTAAGTTCCCAAATTTGCAGTGTGTGTTTTTCCTCTGTCAGACTCTTACCCTAATGAACTTTTCTTTCTTCCCAGTGGATAAAGCAACATTTATGGTTGGCAGCTACGGGCCTCGGCCAGAGGAGTATGAGTTTCTCACTCCAGTTGAGGAGGCTCCCAAGGGCATGCTGGCCAGAGGCACATACCACAACAAGTCCTTCTTTACCGACGATGACAAGCAGGACCATCTCACCTGGGAGTGGAACCTGTCCATTAAGAAGGAATGGAATGAATGAGTTCATCTGCCTATCCCTCCCTCCCCTTGCCACCTGGAACAACCGTCTCAGCCATGTTGACATCCTGTCACCTTCCCTTCTCCATCACCCCCCACATTCCTTATTGATGCATCTTATTCCACCCTGTCCCTCAAAGTGGTCCCCTCACACCATGAGGCTTATAACCAGGCTTTAACCCCACCTGCTCCCTCTGACCCACAATTAGGGCAAGATCTTCTAAGTTCTCCTTCTCATTTAACGTTGTCCCCTCTTCTTCCCATTCGAGTAACTAGAGGCTAGAAAATGGACAAACTTTCACTAACAGTTTCTTTGTCTTGGGGTTCCTTAGCTTGTTCCCATCCCTGAAATCTTTTATGGTTGCTGCTGGCTCAATGCATTCCTTCTCACATTCCCCACCAGGTTACGGTTCTTCTTTTGTGGGAGACATTGTAAGGAACACAAGAGAGTAAGAATAAAACAACTCTATGTTCTGACTGAAACCCTCATTTCCCTGCTTCCTGCCTTCAAACAAATATGATAACCAGAGGTTCACATTTTGAGTTCCCTGGGAGCTGGAAAAAGGGAACGGTACAAGGGGTATTTACGCCCTTGCCAACAGATCATTACAGTATAAAAGGCAATGTGTGTTCAGAATAAAGACAGTGAAAAACCTAAATGTAATTTCTTGTGTGACATTTTCTTATGAGTTTCTTCTAAGCTTGAGGGCTATGATCCCACCACTTATGGAAATATCACCTTGGAATTGATTTGCGGGCCAAATTAAGTGATGTGTCTCTTCTGCTTTTTCAGCGGACTCCAATCACCTAAAGAATGAATTTGAAACCCCTATGCTTAGCTCATTATATAAGGGCCATTGCAAATTGGCTCCACATGCTTTTCTACCCTCATTGATCATTCTCTTCCTTTCCATAATTCCTGACAACTAATAATTTTCTCACACGTTATATTTCTGTCTCTGTGCTTTGGCTCTTCATATGAAACTTCCTTTCCACAATCTTATTTATCCAGACTTCTACCCTGACATATTCTTCAGGAAGAAATCCTTCATGAAACCCACTATTGTCCTAAATGCTTTCAGACTCTACATTCACGGCACCCTGTGAATTTCTCTGTTTTGTCACTTTCCATTTTATATTTAAATGACCTATTCATTTGCCCATCTCTTCCATTACAATCTAAGTTAGAGACACTGCATCAGATCATAGTTAGCATTGTATTCTTAGTGCTTAAATCAATATGTGGCATAGAATACTGAACTTTTTTTTTTATTTAAATGACTTTCTTCTGGTTGGCTACATTCTGAGGCCCTGTCACCAAACTTGGTCTTTTATCTCAGAAGTTGAAGGTTCCCCTAGAGCCAGCTGCAAAGTTCCCAGAGCAATAATAACCCCACAGTCAATTAACTACCTAGTGGGCTACCCTAAATCTGCATCCCAAAACAGGAAGTCCAGGATTAGAACACGAGAAGGACAATGGAAGACACACAGTCTGGATACCTAGTCCTCTTACTTGTCTTTGCCTGTGGGCTAGCTCCTGAAGTTGCTGCAGCAGCTGAAGAATTCTCAGGTAAAAGATAATAACACTTGGATTACCATAAGGGAAAAGTATTATTAGAAAAAGGGGGGAGAACACAATAGTATTCTGGGTACTTTCCACCCAAGCCTAGAAATTTCTAGAAAATGCTGAATAAAGATTGTGTGACCTAACATAGAGGAGATAAATACAAGTGGCCTTCAGAAAGTGACCCTAAGGTAACACCACCTTCCATATAACCTTGGAATAATGACAGTACTCATAGAAATTACAATCTCCTTGGCAGGCATTAGTATGGGAAGAAAGGTATATGAGATGCCTTTAATATTCACAGCTGCTTCTTGTCCACTCAGTACCCTGACACCTTTTCATCTTTTGCTTCTCTCTCTCTCTCTCTCTCTAGATGATCCTGATGCTACCCAGCAACTCATGTGGCTCACAGATGTCCCATCCACCATAGAATTCATTGCTGCTGCTGAGGTGGCCATCATAGGCTTCTTCCAGGTCTGTCCAGATGTCCCACTTGCTACGTCTCCCTGATCCAGACACATTCTACCTTAAGGGAGCCGTGAGAGTGGCCTGTTGGCTAAATGATACGAAATTAGAAGTAGGGGGAATAAGAGTCTGCTTTCAGGTTGTCAATAGAGACCTCTTATTTTCAAAATGTTCCTATTCTCTATGTTAGGTCTTTCTCATACTTGCTGTAAGAACTTCTGAGTCTGCTGACTAGATCTCCTTATTCTATGGATGCTTTGATGCTAAGTCAGTATCTACAGGAAGAAGCCTCCATCAAACCCTACATTGTCCTAAATGTCCTTAGTCTGTACTCTCATAACACTCTAAAAATAGGCATGAGCTAGGTAATATTTTTCATGTGGCATGCCAAAGCCCTGGCATGAGTAAATAGTTAACTCTGTGTAAAGCCTTTCACCATCTTTCATGCATCTTTCTCTATGTCTTTTCTGAAATGTCAGAAAAGATGACTTTTGTATATTGAAGGGGTTAACCTCCATATTCCAGACCTGCCACTGGCTAAAAAAAGGCAGCCATAAAGGAGAGGGCATCATTCCAACATTCTTGTCTGTCTTTGGTGGTAACATCTGGCAATTCTCACAACTGACCCTGGCTCTCTCACTGCAGACCTTCTTGTCTACTTCCATTCATTGATTCCAACTCACAGTCACCCTGTGGGTACTGTGTACACAGCTGGAAATAGCTGAGATGGGATGCAAATGGGGGAAAATGACAAGGAGCACATTTTTCAGTGATGAAAGATCTGAGCTATAGCAGAAAACGGCCACCCTCAGAAAGGCAAGGAAAGGCAAGAGTGGAACTGGAATAGCATGCAGTAATGTAAACAGCCACCAGATGCCACCATTGGGTCCTTAAACAATTGCATCTGCAGAGCATATGAGAAAAGAGGAAGTCTTAATTAGCCTCTAGTGAACTGCACTCTCCCTTTCAAAAGAGCAAGGTGTCAAATCCCTCTCCTTGACCTCAGATGCAAGGCTAACATCTCTCCTTTAGCCCAGTGAGATGCAGGAGGAATAAATTCATTCCTGCTTCTTGCCTTGAGCTGCTGTAGACAAGGGTCCTCTGATGGCAGGGAAAATAATGCCAATCTCTATGAAAGGACAGAAACCATCACTCAGAAGAGGCCCTGGATGGGCCTCAGCTTTGTGTGCATGAAAGCATCTTCATGGAAGAGCTCCTGAAGGAGCTCTGGAGGAGGAGGAGGCTTGTTCTTCCACATTCTGCACAAACCTTTGTCAATGAAACCTTAAGCCTCCATTTTCACTTCCTTTATTCTTTTATTCTTTGGCCCTTTGATTGCTTGTTTTTTATTTTGCATTTCTTCTTTCATCCACAAACTGTCTTAAAACATTTGCCTCCTCAGTTATATCAATGACAGTACAGTCCAACTCCATAAGCTTCCATTATTTTGAAACTTCTCTCAGGTACTATGATAAGTCCACTCAAAAATCTAAGGCTTAGACACAGTTTTGATAGTAACCTATTAATTTACACAGCCAGGAAAACTCAAAAAATGCCACTGAGAATTTAGCTTGCTTTCTGAAGAGTAAGTGTTATTCATTTACTGAACACTAAATCAAATATCTATGATTTCTGCTTTGAGTGAGCATATTTTTCCTCCCTAGTCTTTGTCCCTTCCTTCCAAAATACCCTCTGTGATTTTTTTCCTCCTTTTTTAGGATTTAGAAATACCAATAGTGTCTGTATTCCAGAGCATGGTGCAACAATTCCAAGATGTGTCATTTGGAATAAGCAATAATTCTGAGGTTCTAAGCTACTACAACATCACTGGGAACACCATTTCCCTCTTTCGTCTGGTAAGTTGGGTGGGTGATTCGAGTCTTCTTTCAGTTTTTCCTCAAGTTGTGGGCCCATAAATTTGTAAGACTGGAAAGAACTCTATGTCTGTGACATTAATGGTGGTGCCGAGTTCAAGGACATTACTGACAAGGATAAGGAGTCAACTTAGGCTTCCCAAACAGGTGCTGTGATGAAGTGGAAAGAGACTGGACTGAAAGCCGGATAATTGAGCCAGTAGTAATGCTTGGTCACTGGCCAGCCATGGGAGGCTTGAAATGTCACTTAGCACTTTTTAGCTTCAACTCTTTCACCTATAAAATAAAAGGTTCGACCATATCATCTCTAAGGTCATTTTGAGCTCCACAAGTTTATATTTTTTACATCTTGGGGAGCTAACATGTTTATCAAACATTTGTTAGACAACTCCTGGTGCCTGTGAAAGATGCTAAAATAAAGAAATGCTAAATAGGTTCTCTGCTCTCACAAGTGTTGGAGCATATGGTAAACATAATATGCAAGTATCTATAAGACAAACAGCATCACTATAGATAAAGAGTTCAAAAGATTAAAACAGGGTGGGAGTTCTGAAACAAAAGTATGGTGACCACTGAACTGGGAAGTAAATTCTCTGAAGGAGAATTCATGGCCAAGAGGAGAAAATTTGAGTTTATTTAGGATTCAATGAACAAGGCAATTTGACTGGATTCCAGGGTGCATGTTATAGGAAAAGGAAGGCAAGACAGGAAAACTTGGTTAGAAGCATATGGTGGAGAAACTAGAACACCACCACTTGGGTTTGCATTTAATTTGATTGGCACTGGAATGCCCCAAAAGCCTTTAGATCAGGAGAATAACATGAACAGAAATGTATTTTAGCAAGATTATTCTGGAAACAATAGGTAAAAGGGGTTATTAGAGAATAAGACATGAAAAGAGCAAGTTTTTGCTAGATAGGCAAGATAGATTATGTACAATGTATGAAGTTTTACAGTGGAGATAACAATAGAAATTAATGAAAAAACAGATCAGTCAAGCATGGTGGCACACATCTGTAATTTCAGCACTGGGAAGGCTAAAGCAGGAGGATGGAGAGTTCAAGGCCAGCCTTGGCTACATGGCAAGACACTGTCTCAAAAAACCACCACCACCACCACACCACAACAAAACAAAATAAAAAGAAAAGAAAAAGAAAAAGGCAGATCAGTGATTAGCTGATAGATTAATTAGAGGATTTGTAATTACTAGACGTGAAAATTATGGAAAGGAGGTGAACTTTAGAGCTACGGTGTCTAGGAATACTGAAAGCTTGTGCAGAAATGGGCACTGCTGATGCTTTGGTTGGTTGTTGAGTTTGAGCTGTTGGTGGAATGTCAAAGTAAAGTCAAGAGTAACACAGAAGATGAGAAAAAGAACAAAGGATAGAGTTCTCAAGATTTCTGGATAGAACTTCCTTCCCTTTCTGTATCTTCTGTCCTTTCTTTCTCTTTGTGATTTTTCATTCAGATTTCATTTAAGTGTATTTTATACACAGCTCCTTATGCCTCCTTTAAGCAGGATGCTTCTATGTAGTTTCTGTCCCATTGCTTCTGCTTTCATTCAGGCTGGCACAGCTTCTAGAATGCCAAATCAGAAGAACACTTTTTAGATCTTGTTTTACTCAGCAGCTCTGCCATCCTTGGCAGGGTTGATTAACATTGTCTTTAATACTCTCTCTTCTTGAATTCTAGCAGTCTACTTCTCTGATCCTCCTCTCACTTGCTTCCTCTCCATTAGATACTCTCTTTCTGTAGCTGCACTTCTGCCTGACTCACTGCCCTTCTCACTCTACTTTATGGAATCCATGCTTGGTGAATGGAGATACTGTTCTGTTTGCTGCTGTGCCCACAGAGCCTAGAACAGTGCCTGACATGTAGCCGTACTAGTACTAAGTAGTCCTGAGGTTTTTGTTGAGAATGAATATATGAATGGATCAACTAATGAATGAATACATTCTCCTTAAGCAAGATAATTCTTTCTCATATTTGATTCTTATGGGTTTTCTTAGGATTTAGAATATTTTATCTGTAACCTGGACTTGCCTCATGATTCAAATATTTGGTGGCTATAATCATTTTTATACCATCATGTTTTAAATTGAATTTCTTCTCTGTACCTGCTAAATTATTTTCCTTTATCTAAATGCACTTTTACTGGATAGTTATGTTCAGTCACTCTCTCATTTTTGCTAATTATACCTATCTTAAATCTGTGTTTCACTCTTTCTATTTCATTCCTCATTTAAGCTCTAGCATCACTGTCATAAGGAATTTTAATTGCTTCTTAACAGACCTCCTATTATTACTCCCTATCCATTTTCTAGACTGTCATCACTATGATGTATTTTAAGATGGAAGTTTGTGTAGGGTGCTTCTCTCTTAAAAGTTCCAGTGGCTCATGCCTATAATCCCAGCTACTCAGCAGGCAGACATCAGGAGGATCTCAGTTCGAAGCCAGCCCTGGCAAATAGTTTGTGAAACCTTATCTCAAAAAAAAAAAAAAAAGATCACAAAAAGAAAGAAAGAAAGAAAGAAACTTCTTCAATAGCTCTCACTTTTTACAAGATCGAAAACAAGGTATTTATTGTTACATGTAGTCTTATAGACCTGGCCACTACCTGCCTTTGTAGTCTCTTTCTGATCATGTGTCCCCCTTGCTTTTACCCACTCGATACCCAACTACACACATTATGATCCTCCAGCGCCATGATCTTGCCCAAGCTGTCCCCTCTGCCTAGAAAGCCACCACCCCCAAGGACCGCTTTTCACCCAGTCCCACCAAGCTAACTCTTCCTCATACTCCAGTAAACCAGTTCAGGCATCTCATGCTTCAGAAAGCCTCACTGGAATCCCTAAGTTGCCCCAAGTATTGCTCTAGGCTTCCTAGCTCTGTTTCATTTACCACTTTATAGTGCATTTCATAGATGTACGTGCCTGGCTCACCTATTACAACATTAGACTATGAACTGCTCAAGGCCAGAAACCATAGCTAATTCATCTTGGTATTCCATAGGTCCACAATATGTCTGTGGCACATGGAAGGCACACAGAAAGTGTTTGGGAAACTTAGCTCATCTCCCAAAGTACTGTTTGAGGAAACAAGAGCAATCCTTTCCCCAGCTACATTTCACTGGGTTTGCATTTTCACTATTGAGAAACAGGATAAAACCAAGCCCTTCTTTGAAAAGCTTTTTGCTAAGAAAGACGTGGAAGGTTAGTTAAGCTTAATGCCTTTCATGACACCCTTGAACCCCTAGCAGTCATCCTTCAGTACAAAACTCCTAATCAATTACGGCTCCTCAAAGGCTGCTTTCCCAAGTTTGTCTTGATAGATCTTATGAAGGCCTGATTTAAAGGTGTTGGTGCTACCAAGATACACACATAAGGAAGAAAAATAAGCTGTTGCTTCCAGCGACCCTACAGGCTTAGCAATTCTTAATGGGACCATTAACTTTGCTTACAATTTATTCTTTATAAGCCATGTTGATGACTTTGCAGAGTTTTTCACTCTTCCTTAGCATCTGTTTTTTGTTTACCACTAGTGACAAACCTACTCTGCATGAACTCTTGGGACCTCTGTGGACAAGATTATTTATGTGCCATACCAGAAAACAAACAGGCTGTTTCCTGTGCCACCTCATTGGCAGGGTGAGGAGTGGCTCCACTTATGTCCTGCCAGCTTTTAGATAAACATTTTTTCTCAGTTGATACTTTCAAAAGTTTAGTACATATTTTAATGGGATTATTACTCAAGAGTTTAGAATAACTTCTAAAAAAAAGAAAGAAACAACCAAGACTATTCTGTTTTGCATTGGGAAACATGAGCCTGTGGCAAACTTTCTGGTACCTTCTTTCATCTTAGACACACAGTTTGTTTTCTTTCTTTCTTTGTTAGTTGTGTGTGTGCCTAATTTATGATAAGTATTATTACAGTTCTCAGAAGAATCTGATGAAATGATTATTATTCCTTCATTTTCAATAAGGAAAATAAAGTTCTATGAGATTGACTCAGTTAGCCAAAGTTTCACAACTCTGAAGTGACAGATGTTTGATTCCATACCCAGCATGGTTGATCCCAAGTCCTATACTTTGGACTGTATTGTAGTGACTTTATAAAGCACTTAACCCAAATGAAAACCTTTATTTGCATACTAGGTTCTGTCTACTTTAATTTCCCTTACTCTAAAGCCTTTTTTTTAATCACTTTCTCCTTAACTATTTCCCTGCTATTAATTAATCAAACCCCGGAATTATATCTTGAGACTTAACTTAGACACTATGTATTTTAGCAAAGAAATTTCAGAATTTAGACTTACTGGACTTGCAATAGTAAGAACATATTTAGAGATAAAATGAAATAATGCTTAAGTGAAAAAATAATGACTTGACATTACGGGGTGCTCAAATACTGTTGAGTAGCTGTATTTATGGAACGTATCATTGTCTGCAAATAGTGCAGACTGACTTACATAAATGTTTTCTGGAAGAGTTGAAGTAAAATTCAGGCAACAATAATAAATCGTGCATGACAATGTGATTATTGATGATAAAGTCTGTCTTTTATGAATGGGACAGCAGGAAGACCCTCTACTGTCCATTCTCCAACAAGATTCTTACCATTGCCCCAACAGGGGTGTTTTCCCAGAGTAAAAAAGCCATGAGCCTGTCCTAAAGTGGAATTTCAGTTATTATTTGGATGTTTACCCTGCTTTTGGTTTCCTCAGTTACTTCTATTTTAAGAAATCTGATTAGCTTAAGTTTGACCCAAAAGGATACTAATAAAAACAGAGCCTTTCTTTATTCCTTCTATAGTTGTTTGCTGAGTGCTTATTATAAGAAATGCCTCTTACCACACAAAGTGAATCAGAAGAATCAGTGTGCAAAAGTAAACTGACAATAAGAAGCGATATATGTCAAATTATTAAAGTAGGTATTTACCAAATATAGGGTAAGCTGAGAAGCTTATAAAACAAACCCAGAGACATGATAGAAATTTGTTTAATAAATGATTTCCAAGTGCCACCTAAGATAATAAGTGTGTTATTATCATCGTGATATTATATAATGTTTTAAGTGTGGTATAGACTAAAGTGATTTTTGATACATTTTCTAAAAAGCTGAGTTGTGAGAGAAATTCATGGGAATTCAAAAGGAATATTGCTTAAATAGCAAAGAACAGAAAAGGTGTGATTAAATCTCTTGTTATGACAAAACAATCCACTTCAGATAACTCGAGGGACTTTAAAGGGAAACCCCTTTCAGTTTACTCTTTCTGCTTTTCTTCTGGTGCCTTTTTCCTTGGAAAGGAAAACAACAGAATATCTTAAGTTTCCTTTTTTCAAATGCTCACAAAAAGAAATATATATATATGTATCTATTTGAATTTTAATGTCATTTAAGTTTTTGCTATTTGTATTAGCATATATAACACACCAACACAAGGGGGTTTCATTGTGACAATTCCATAGATGTATATAGTGAACTCTGAACAAGTTTACCCCCTCTATTATATTCCCTTGACAAAATGTTCCCAACTCTGGAGTCCAGTGTAGGATTTTCTTTCCAGTACATTATGCAAATAATCCCCTTCACAGAAGGCAGATTTCCTGTTTAAATGTTGCTTCCAGAGCCTTATATAGGAATGTTCCAGAATTTATTAGTTTACAAAACAATGAAATGATCTGATAAGTGTCCTTAGAAGCATAAGAAACTGGAAAGGGAGCAAGAGGGTGGTTTTCATTAAATATCTTTTGCTGCCTAGGGAATGTTATGGACACTTCACACCCTCTGCCTCTCTGTCCTGCATTCCTCTGCTCCAGACACACCTGGAGCAGCTGGCACTTCCTGCTCTCTGGTTCTGGGAAATGTGAGGGACTGCCTGGAAAAGCAGCCAGAGTGCCGGGATTCTGGCCCACGCATGGCTGGGTCAGCGAGGCGCAGGCACAAGCCTAAGAGTTCCTAGAAAAATAATCAGGATGCTTTTAGACATATTCGATATGAAAAGGGCCCTGATCGTGATTATAATAATCATGATTTTTGTGGTTGTAATAAGGAGCTTGAGTATGAAAGAGACATGCCAACTGGCAAAGCAGGCCTTTAGCAAAAGCAAAGATCCAAACAAACTGCAAATATCATCTTCTGTGTGTTCACTTATTTCTCCACTCACTGATTCGGGATGGAGTGAGTGTGGGGGGGAGAGAAGAACTCACACCTAAGACTTGCTTTTATATTTCATTCCCAAGCTTTCTACTTGAAACTCTATAAATTTTGAAATAATTATATACACAAAGGGATTTCACTTTTTAAAATACCCAATATTTTATCTAGAAATACAAATGTTTCTGTACCCTGGCATTTATTTCTCTCATAAGTTTAAAATAAAGAGCACTTAAATTGCAGTCTTACCAAAAGGCAGCACTTCTGTGTCTGGGTGCCTAATACATAGCAGACTTTCATCAAATAATTCTTGGGCAAATGGATTATATACCCAGGATTTAAAAAATTAACCATTAATGGTGCTTGGAGCTTCTCAGAGGTCCATATTACCTTCAATTAATCCAATGGGAGACCATCTTGAACAAAAGTGGAAACCAGGTGAGAAGAGATATGGGAGGGTGACAGTAGGGAGCAATCTTAGATTCTTTCTATTTAGTAACTTTAATTTCATTCTACTCACATAAACTAAAATAACATTTACCTCTGAATTTGCTGGGTAGGCAGGAAGACTGTATCTTGGGAATAAAATGTTCTGATCCAAGGCAAAACCTGACTGGGTAGAGCCTACATCAGACAGCAGGTATAGGGAAAAGAGGATAAGGATATGAGCAAGGATTTCAAAAGCACTCCAAACTATTTTAGGGTATGGAAGCAATTGTTCGGGAGCTGCCCCTGATGTTTTTATCTGTAGGCAAAGTTGTGAGTGATGGAAGCAATACCTTGTATCATTACGGGAATAAGTAGACTGAGGATGGGCATGGAAAACTCTGAGAGCAATAATTGGAAGTTTGAGGTTTTATTTTTAATACATCTCATGGCAGTTAAGAAGCAAAGAAAGAAATGGGAAGGGACCAATATTCTTTCTAGGGCACACTGCCAATGACCTAACTTCCTTCCATGAAGCCCTACCTCCTAAAGATTCTACCACCTCCCTATAGTGCCACAGGCTGGGGGTGAAGACTTCAACACATTGGCCTTTGGGAGAAATCCTAGATCCTAATTATAACATGGAGTATGGTAGAAAGGTTTTAAAATACAAATCTGGATTATGACAAAATCTGGACTATGACAAAAGGAAAAATGTCTAGCCCAAGACCAAGATCTAGAAGATGGAAACCCCAAAACACTGGGCACTGATTTTCATCTGGGGTGGGAAACTTTTGCTTTTTCTAGAAAGAAATAGTGAAGAGGATAAGACATTTACTAGCACTTTTCTTTTTTGGCAGTACTAGGGTTTGAACTCAGGGCTGCATACTTGCTAGGCAGGCAAGCTACCATTTGAGCCACACACCTCCAGCCCTTTTGTCTGGTTATTTTGGAGATAGGGTCTCACTTTTTTCCCAGATCCCCTGGACTGCCATCCTCCTATGTTATGCTTGCTGGGATGATAAGCACATACCACCATGCCCAAGTTTTTTCCATTGAGATGGGGACTTGTGATCGTTTTTGCCTGGACTGTCCTGGAACTGCAGTCCTCCCAATCTCAGCTTCCCAAATAGCTAGGATGATAGGTGTGAGCCACTGCACCCAGCTATTGGTTGATATGGGTCTTGCAAATTCCCTGCCCAGGCTGACCTTGAACCAGAATCCTCGTGATCTTGAGCAGCCATCAGAGCTCAGTTTACCAGCATTTTTAAGATACTCAAAGAGGGGGGACAGCAAAGTTTGGAGTCCAGACCCCACAGAGGAAGTAGGAAGAAAATCTAGTAAAACATCTTTGTGCCTTGTTAGAATTATCAAGAGGTGCACCCTAGGGCTGGAGGCATGGCTCAAATAGTAGAGCACCTCCATAGCAAGTGCAAGGCAGCACCAGTACTGCCAGAGAGGGAAAGGGAGGGAGGATAGAGGAGAGGGAGATAGAAAAAGAAGAGAGAGAGAGAGAGAGAGAGAGAGAAAATGCTACACCTAAAGACAGGATGAATCGTAAGTAGACCAGTCCTCTCAAGGGTTGCAACACAGATGCAAGTCATCTCATCCCTTAAATTGGGTTAGAGTGATCCTGTGTAAATACACACACACACACACACACACACACACACACACACACACATACACACACATAAATATACATATACATATAATTATGTATACATGAATAATATGTACTATTTACCCATAGCCATGCCCTATGGCTGAAACTCAAAAGATAAAAAAGTCTTAAAAGAAGTCAGAGGAAAGAGATTACTCTCTATGTCATCTCAAAGGAACAGTAGTAAGTGTCACAGCTGACTTCTTGATAGAAATATTAGAATGTAGGATAGAAAGCATTCTATTTTTCAAACACTGGAAGAAAATAACTCCTAACTTAGAATTCTACACCAGCTAAAACATCCTTCAAAAGTAAAGATGAAGTAAATATATCTTAAACAACCAAACTGAGAGAATTTGTCACCCAACAGAGCTAATTCATACTAAAGGGAATACTAAAAGGGGTTCTCCAGGCAAAGTGCAAAAACATTGCAAATAGAAGATTAAAATGTAGGAAGGCAGACCAGGCGTGGAGGCTCACACCTGTAATCCCAATTATTTAGGAGGCAGAGATAGGAAGACTGTGGTTTGAGGCCAGCCCAGGCAAAAAGTTAGCAAGACCCTATCTCAAAGAATAAGCCATTAGTGTTGGTTCACACCTGTAATCCTAGGTATACAGGAAGCTTATGTGGGAAGATCATGTTCTCAGGCCAGCCCTCTACAAGACCCTACCTAAAAAAATAACTAAAACAAAAAGAGATAGGGGTAGGGCTCAAGTGGCAGAGCACCTGCCTATCAAGCACAAGGCTCTGAGTTCAAACCCAATTACTGCCCCCCACAATAAAAATGCAGGACGAAATGTAGAGAAGCTAAAATGTAAAATATTTGCCTAAGTGTAAGTGTATCTTAACCATACAACACAATACTAGCAATGTCTTGTGAGATTTAGAATTAAAATGCACAATACTAATCACCTATATTTCTTGAGTATGGGGCCAGAAAACAGCGTTAGAAGATAAATTGTATTTGACTGTTCTAACATCAAAGAGGAGGGTGAATTGTCAGTTAATATTAGATTCTGATAAGTAAAAAATGATGTTATATGATGCATACTGCTAATCCCTAAGGGGACTGTGTAACTTCTAAGCCAAAAAAATGCAAAGAAAGAATGATAAAAAGTACTAAATCAATTCACAAGTGGGCCAGAAATGAAGAAAAATGGAATTTGGAAGAGTCAGACTAATGAAAAATACGTAAGTAAATATCAGTAATATTGCATGAAAATTATCCTCACAAGACAAATGTGTTGGGGGTGACTTCAACTATGATATATTATAAGAACTTTTATAAATGTCACAATATACCCCCAGTACAACAATTTAAAAACAGAGGAGGGACACAAATGTGTCACTAAATAGCGGGACATTCTTACCTTGCTGTCTTTGGAGCTATAGTCAGTACCTTCCTTTGGTCGTCTAGTGATGGTTATCAGTGATTGGCAATTTTATCCTTTTCTGTGTTACCCAGGTGGATAATGAACAACTGAATTTGGAGGGTGCAGACATTGAAAGTATGGATGCCACCAAATTAAGCCGTTTCATTCATATCAACAGCCTCCGCTTTGTGACAGAGTACAATGCTATGGTAAACAACATCCCTGTGGCCAGCCCCCACTTCCCTGAGTCAGGGACACAACAGAGATTCTCTCCTCCCTGACCTCTGGTCCTTTGACCAACAACATAACTGTCCTTAATTGAAAAACCTAGTATGCTGTTTACATTGGCATCCTTAACACAAACCCTAAGACTGATGGACTTGACCCTATTCAATAGAGAAACGGGGTTACAAAAGTTAAATGACCTATCCCATTACTGATAAGTTAAGGTGACTGATTCAAAAACATCCTAGTCTTGCTGCCTCTGAAGGCTCAGTAAAGGCCACTGTGCCCTGAGCAACTCTGAGATCACATTTCTCAAACTAGATTGCAATCAGTTCTGAAGATTCTTTTTCTTCCTAATCCATTGCTAACTGATAACTTTTATAAAAGTACATTGCTAAGCAAATGAAAATTTAAAAACAAAGCCCACTAATCATGAATTGGGATGTCAGAGCATTATGAAGGTTTCTAAACACTTTTTCGACTTTCTGTATGGACCTGCATGTGAACCAGTAACAGACAGTTCCGGGTCTGGCGCCATTCTTTGCAAACTGTGCTAAACTCCCACAGTGCCTAAGCAGCCTCTCCAAATTTAACATCTTCTGGTTGGTGCACCTATCCTGATTATCTCTGGCCTTCTAACACTTCACACCTTACAGAATTATGTACATTGCCTTTTATTTTCCTGAATGTAGTTCATAGAGTGATAGAGTATTTGTACTCATCTACATCAGTTCAGAAGTGCTGTGCATCCTCTAATACCAGGAACTCACATGCATGTTATGTTCTTCCAGAATTTACAAAGACCTTTCATGCTAATTTTCACACTTAATCCTCATGCTGACTTTTTTAAGGCAATAGGGAGGGAATTTTTATGCCCATTTTTTAGAGCAGACCATTCAAGACCCAAGTGATATTATTCAAGGTCACACAGGGAATAAATAGAAAAGACATCATTTAAGGCAGAATATTCAGCCAATAATCCTATTTCTATTTTTCAGTAAAGGGAATGGGAGTTCAGAAAAGCTACATAACATCCTTGGGGCCATGTGGCTGGTCGGTTGAGCTTCACAGCAGCACAGCACTTGCCCCTGTCTTCATAACTGGTCTGTGTGGCTGAATCCTGTGGTTTTTCTATTGCATCACACAATCTTTAATAGAAAATACCCCTTTTCCTGTTGACAAAATTCCTGTCTATTTCTCACAGCAGCTTTATCTGTGCAATGGTGACTCCATTTCCACTTGGCAAAGATTTCAAAAACACACCCTCTCAGGGTGCTGGCAGCAATAATCAAGAAACTTTCTTTGCCTAGACCATCATCATTCTGGAGATTGTGACTATTGAGCTGCTAGGAGTGCAAGTAGGCCCAAAAAACATGGCCTTGTGGTCCCCGGTTAAACAGTCCTTTCTCTCCTCTCTGTATTCTGTCTCCTGTCTGCCCCACTCCCCTAAGCCACTGACAACTTCATGAGGAATCACCACCACTAAACATTCAAAAAGGGCCAGTGTTTCTCGTATCCTAAAGAGTTCACCTTTTGCTAACCTAGGTAGACTGGAGTCCTGTAGGCCAGTCAAGGCAGGGTAAGGACGTGCCTGGTCCAGTGCTCATCCTACAGAACAATGATGTGTCTTTTTTGTGTTCCACATTCTTAGTGAACACAAATCACATCAAAAGAAAATCAGATAAGAATTTTGTTAGAGAAACTAGTGCAATTTTTATTACAACCTTTATTTCTCCTAAGTAATACTTTTCTTATTTGGAGAGCTGCCCATCCATTTCTCATCTGTTGCTGGTGCATAAGTTTGCACCATTATCAATTGGAAGGGAAACCTCAGTCATGCCCTTGACCTGTTGTACACTTTTAATGCACAATGCATAGCATCAAGGTGAGAAGTCGGGCTGGGTCTGTTAGGATTAAACTAATCATTTCTGCTGTCTAATGCCCTCTGCTAAGAAAACTGTACTCTTTGATTCCTTAGTTCTTTTTATTCACAATATTCAGTGAATATTTATTATTATTTTAACATTTTTATTAATATATACTAGTTGCACAAAAAGGGGTTTCATTGTGATATTTCCACACATGCATTTGATCTATCCCAATCCAATTCACTCCTTTTACCACTTCCCCTCTTCCTTCCTCCCTCCTTCTTAAAACAATTTCAACAGGTTTCATTGTTCTATTATCATACATTGTATAATGTATTTCAACCACATTCATCCTCCCTACACCTACCTCTTTTGCCCTTCCACTGGTACTCACTCCTAAACAGAACCTGTTTTATACTCCTTGATTTCTTAGCTCTTATCTCTTGACTCTTCCCAAGAATTATCTCTGTTTTAGGAGGACAGATGCACAATCTAAATATAAGTAACAGGATCTAGTAAAGCAAGAGTCAGTTCTTTTCCATCCATTCTCCCAAATGTTAAATCTTAGACCCGGTATTAATCTCCAAGGTGAAGTCTTTAGGAAAAACCCAATGGGCTTTCCTTGCCTACATTATGAACCCCGGTGGTTAACAGGAGCAGCTGGAGAATTGCTATAGAACAGTGTGTACCTTCAGGAAGAACCCCTCCCTGTTTCTGTTCCTGCTATCCTGGGAACCAATGGTTTGTAACCCATCATACTCTCTCTTCCTGTGTACATGTTGATCTTATAGCAGTGCTTTCCGTACTTAGAAGTTAGAGGTGGAAAGCCATGGGAATTTGTTTAAAATAAACCTGAAGTACAATTTCGGGGAAGTAAAAAGAGGGAACTGTTGTGACATTCTACCCTTTCTCTCCTCTCTGTAGTCTGTCTTCTGTCTGCCTTACTCTCTTAAGCCACTGACAACTTCATGAGGAATCACCACCTCGAATCACCACCTCAAAACAGCCAAAAAGGGCCAATGTTCCTGGTATCCAAAAGAGTTCACCTTCTTGCTGACCTGAGGTAGACTGGACCAACCACACTCAAGTTTAAATTGGTTTCATGGGGTTTTGCTATCAGTTACAAGAGGCAGCCCATCCATGGCCAAGAGCTTGGATTCTGGCACCAGGCTGCCTGGTATAAATCCCTGTCCACCATTTATGCAACTTTGACAAAATGACTTAATCTAGCTGGGCTCCAGTTTCCCCATTTTAAAAACTGGAACAGTAATGATTCCATTAGTTATTGTATGTAAAGAGGTGAAAACAGTGCTTTGCATTTAGTAAACACTCAATGAGTATGCCCCAATAATCACATGGTCAAAGGCCACATTTTAAGCATCTCTAACTAGTCTTGAAACATGAAGAGGAGTTGAAAAGCAGTAACTAATATGTTCCATGGTATATTTGTTGTCTAATGCTGCATAACAGATCACTCCAAAACTTAGGAGCTTAAAACGCTAAACATTGATTCACTCACACAATTCTCACGGGTCAGATATTTGGAAGTGGCTCAGTGATTCTGGTCTAGGGTCTCTGGTGAGGCTGTAGGCATTGATCAGGGCTGCAGTCATCTGAAGCTGGGCTGGCTTTTCCCAAAGTAAGGGATACAAGGAAGAACAAAGCCAAAGTCAATCACTTTTATGACTTCAGTTTGGAAGTCATAGTCCATCATTTCTATAATATCCTCTTGGTTACTCAGTTCAGCCTTACTCAGTGTGGGAAGGAAAGATCTACATATTGGCCTGAAAGCCAGATGGTGAGATTTTTGAAAGCCATCTTAGAAGCTAGTTTCACTTGTGTCACTATTTTATGTTTCCATCTACTTATTCATAGGACGTATCACTAATCTATCTCCTTGCCACCTCCTGTAACACATTTCAATTTGCCAGACTGTGCTGGGTCTGTTTAACACCATGATTGAGATTCATCTTCTCCTGATGATGAACAAGGCTTCTCCAGAGTATGAAGAAAACTTGCACAGATACCAGACAGCAGCTAAGCTCTTCCAGGGAAAGGTGAGCTCAGAACCGGAGACGCCCTTTTGAATGTGCACCACCAGGACACTAGGAATAGGAAGGTGGTGCTAGGAAGTATAAATAAATAAGGAAACTAAATGTGGCTAAGAAGTCACAAAGTTAGAACTGGAACATAATAAATTATATTATTTGAAATTAAACACGTTGTGCTTTGTAATATTAAAAGCCTACATAGTCATACCTTCCCACAGTGATTATGCTTTTTTTCCACATTGATAGGTAGAGAAAAAATAGGGCATAAAACTACCAAAAATAAAATGAGCTACTAGTCATAATTTGCTTACTCCTTGCCATAATCTTTTTGTGTGGGAGAGACTTTAGGATTTATTTCTCATATACACACCTACAAAGAACCTGGTGTCTACTAGATATAGCCAATGAATCTTGGTGAAGTTCTGTTTTTCTCTTTGAAGCAGTAAATCACCCCCTACTCCCAGGCCACTGTGTTGCACCAGACATCCAATGGTGAGAACCATCTGATATAGAAAAACTGCCTTCCTGAAGACTGGTTTCCTAACCCTAAGAGAATTCAGTTTTACTGAGTGCAGGCAATTCTCTCCTTAGAACATTACAAACATTTCTACTGTGGGTAGAAAGTTTGACTTAATAACATCCAGTGGTCCCCCCACACCCAGAGTCAACCACAGTATAAAAATATCAAATGGAAAATTCCATTAATGACTCATAGGTTTTAAATAACTTTTGTTACATTTCATTGTTATAATTATTCTATTATTGGTTATTATACTGTAAGTCCGAATGTCTAGGAAGAAACACAGCCTGTATCAGTAGCATCCATGGTTTTAGGAGCTACTGGGGGTCTTGGAATATATCTGTAAAATAGTTAATGCTTATTACCATATGCCAAAAACTGTACAAAAATACTAAATGCATTGTCTTCCCCAACAAAAGCCATTTTGCTAGTGAGGAAACTGAGTCTCAGAGAGGTTAGTTAATGTGCCTGAGATAACACAGCTAGAAAGTACCAAAGGTGGAATTTAAATTTTATACTGTGCTTTTAACCATGAGGGTATACTTCCTCCTTTAGATAATCACAAAAACCTCTTCCAACTCTATATTCTTAAAATTAAATAAATCTGACCTAAGGAATAAAATATCAAAGCAACACAAAATAAATTTAGTTTAACTCAATTGATATGTAAATTATGAAACACAGACCATAATTCAATCAAGGTATACTGATTACAGAGTGTCTCTGTGTCCCCAGGACCTCAGATAGATCTCTTTCTTTCAAAATTCTCCAACTGCAGATTCTCTTTGTTCTGGTGGACAGTAGTCTAAAGGAAAATGGAAAGGTAGTATCGTATTTCAAACTAAAGGAGACTCAACTGCCAGCTTTGGCGATTTACCGGACTCTTGATGATAAGTGGGATACACTGTCCATAGCAGAAGTCACAGTAGAGCAAGTGCAGGACTTCTGTGAGGGATTCCTAAAAGGGAAAGTGTTGGTAAGTGTGAGACTACAGGTAAAGCAAGTTTGTTTTCTTCCTCTCTATATGCTTTTTATTTCTTGTTGAAGAAGAATTCACTGGGTTTGGGTCAGGTATGGTGACTCACATCTATAATCTCAGCGATGTAGGTGGTGGAAGAAGGAGAATCATGGTCTGAGGCTGGCCCAGGTAAAAACATGAGACTACATCTGAAAAACAAATTAAAGCAAAAAGGACTGGGAGTGTAGCTAAAGTGATAGAGCACTTGCCCCGCAGGTATGCATAGACCCTGAGTTCAAACCCTAGTACTGAAAAAAGAATTCATTTGGCTCTATTGGATTTGGCTAAGAACAAAGGGATATGAGGATATGGTGTTGGAGTAGGATGCTAGTAAGCATACAGTTATGGGGATGGAGCTAGAAAAGTACTTTTTGAAAGGTCTTGCATATTCAAAAGAGCTGAATTTAGAATTTTGCTATTTTTTAAGGTATTGATGATAAACAAATCACATTCCCTATAAAAGAGTTCCTGAAGATAAAAACTGAAGCTGGGCTTAGGACTTCCAGGAGTAACCAAATGGCTCAGTCTGCTAAACTTAAAAACAAGAAGGGGGCTGGCACAGTGGTTGGTGCCTATATTCCTAGCTACTTCAAAGGCAGAGGTCCAAAGAATTGTGGTTTGAGGCCAGCTCAGGCAAAAAAGAGTTCATAAGACTTCATCTCACCTAATAATAACTCGGGCATGGTGACACATGCCTGTCATCCCAACTACACAGGAAGCATGAATAGGTGGATGGCAGCCCAGGTCAGCCCAAGCATAAATGCAATAACCTATTGAAAAAAATAACTAAATAGAAAAGGGCTAGGGGTGTAGCTCAAGTTATAGCAAGCACAGGTCCTGAATTCAAACCCCAGTACTGAAAAAAAGAAAATAAGAAAGCACACAAATGAACTCCAAATCTAAATGTCAGTATTATTATGTTTTTCAGAAAGAAAACAATAAATTAGAAGAAAAGACTCCAAAGGAAGAACTCTGACTTTTCCCTGATACTTCTATTGCTAAACATACCTACTTTGTGCTGAATAAAAAGGGCAATTCAAACCTCAGCTGCACTAAACAGAATCACCAGGTGTTCCAAACACACACACACACACACACACACACACACGAGAGAGAGAGAGAGAGAGAGAGAGAGAGAGATCCATTTTGTTCTTTAAAGCCTCATTGACTCTCCTTCTTTCTTTTCAATTTCCTGTACTCTCTGACTATCCAACCCGTCTCCTAGTGTGACTTCCTAATGCTTGGCCTACCGATGATGGATGGAGATCTCAGAAATACAATGACATCCCTAAGAAGGAGAGTCATTCCTAGAGAGACAAGAGTTCTGATGTCATTAACATTGGATTTGTACACTGCACATGATGTACACAACTGTTTCTGCTCATTTGGGGTTGTCTAAGGATTTTTTGAAATTTTACTTTCTTCATAAGCACATGTCTCTCTCTGACTCGGGGCCAAGAACAAAAGGATAGTTTTAAAGACCTTTCTGAATTTTTTCTTTTTTTGCCAGAAGTTAAATGTTGTCTCCAAGTTTCTGAACTCAGCCAAAACACATCATGCCAAAAAAAAAGAAAAAAAAAAGCGCTATGCTTGTTTAGCATTTCCAGCTCCCCATGTAAAATCAACAACCCGCATAATAAATAAAAGGCAATAATGTTATAGGAAAAGACTGACATCTCTTTACAGACCAGACCTTTTGTAAATACCCAGCTGCCCAGCGAAGGCGTGTGTACCTCACCCTTCGCTGCTCACAGTTTACTAACAGGCCACGAGCCACCACTGTGTTATTGTTCGCTTAGTGGGAAGGTTGGGTGGTGGGTAAGACCATCCTGTGTGAGGATTGGCACAAATGTGGCAAAGAAGCAAGGGAGTCAATTAGGTAAAAGGTTGGGGAGTAGATAGGAGGGGGCTGGCACTGGCGCCTGGGCAGGCTAGGACTAAGCCATGGATTACTGCAGGTGAGGTGTGTGATCCAGCTCGTGGGGACAGGGAGAGGTTGGCTGAGTGTCTCTGGCTCACAGGCTGTTACTGTCAACACACAGATGCTACATTGTTCCCAGGAGGCCCTTGGCTCTGAAGAATAGTGCCTAAGTGCTGAAGAGCTGAAAAACCACAGCTGTACACTAAAGAACTGGTCCAAGTGAGGGAGAGAGAGAGAGAGAAAGGCTTGGTTGTTCCCTTCTGTGGGGAAAACTCGGCAGCCCCTGGGTGGGGGAGTCAGCCACTGGCAGGGACACTGTGAAAGCAGCAGTGTACAGCACACCCCTCAGCAACGTGAGAGCAGAGGAACTGGGAGTCACCCAGTCCATCCCAGGGCCACTTGCCTGAGGCTGGAAATATTCCTAGGATGAAGCCATCCCAGAAGGTTCACTTTGGACCTAAAGCCAGAGCTATTGATCTTTCCTGACAGGAATTCTTCCTGACATACCACTGAGATCCTCCAAGCTATTTCTTCTTAGTTCCCTCCATGGAAGTCATTAACATTTCCATCACCATCCCCAAGTGGTACCCTCAGCTCCCCGCTGGTGGCTCTTAGGCCCTCTTATCCAGTCTTCTCTGTGTTCCTAATACAATTCTTTTTATCATTTTTTTAAATTTCCAAGTATTTGATTCATTTAATTGTTTTCTCTCCTCCCTCTTCCCAACTTTTCCTCTTTCTTGCTTCAAATAATAAGACTTCAAACTTTAATAGCCATACCTCACAGGAGTCATTTCTCAATTATTTTAAGTGGCCCCCTATGCCTATAGTCAACACTGACCTAAGTCAACATAGCTCTTAATCTTTATGCTATATGATAATTTCTTCATGGCGATTGATATCAATTTTATTCTATATTTTTTGTATTGTGTTTATTATATTGAATTGAATATTCAATTCAATAAAACTGCCAGTTATTTTTTCCCCATCTTCTTCACTGCCAATCTGGCTCTTTGTAGATCTGGGAACTCATGACCAAAAAAATTAAATATCTTTAGAAAGACAAGATTTCTGAAGGTTCTCATCCATTCACTGAAGATCAGACTTAGTATTATAAACTTCCGCAATTTCTAGCTCTTTCTCTGTCTTTGGGTAATGTTTTCTGAAGACTCTACCTTCATATCCCCAAGGCTATACTATTGTTGGAATATCTAAAGACAGCTCAGCTATTTTTCATCATGGAATCATTCATTAGCTCACTGGTAAGGCTGCCATTGCCCTTTCTTTAAACTACAAAGGCGGTGGTGATGTTATACAAAAGAACCTGGGGAAATAATGTTGGAAGATTTAGAAGACTATGATAGAAGGGAGGAGTGTGACTAGAGCAGAACAAAGCATTTGTGTGCATATGGCTCTGTGACACTGAGAGAAACACTTTCTGTCTTTGAACTTCAGTTTACTAAGGCTCATAAAACAATTCATAGGATTTTTTGAGATCCCAGGGTGATGATACATGTTAAGTAAAGTTTGATCATTACTTTAGCATCTACTTGCCTGTAGGGTTCCTCTCTCGACTTACCTAGTTGGAGCATACTGCTAAGGAAGGCTGTCTTCATCAGGCCCCCCTGTTCATACATATGCTTTGGGGGCCATCGTATAGGATAGGTACTAGGTGGTGTATTATGTGAAAGCATTTATTTATTCACATTCTTATTCATTCATTTACATATTCATCAACCTACTCTGAGTAGCCAGGCAATATTGCCTCCTAAGGGAGTTGAGTAAGCTTAGCCTTGGATGACAAGCTCTAGAACAGAGACTTTTCCATTGCAGTAGACGTAGGAGCCACCAGACTGGTTCTGGGCCATGACAGAGTGCAGCAGAACAGAGAAAACTGGATAAAGGAGAGAGGTGTGCGGAATGGAATGAGTAGGAGGCTTGCAGTGGGATGAGAAGGCCCCAGAGTTGCAGGAAGAGGAAAAGGAAAGATCACCACAAAAGGAACACACTGTATTTCACAACTGAGTTTGGAACCAGCTTTATTTATTACACCTTTCTAAAAATATCTGGTTTCCTAAGCAAAGTAAAACAGGAAGTGGGATGTATCTGACCTATGGCTCCTAATTGCAGAATCTTTATGTGGAGAGACATGGAGAATAGACATCAGACTGTCTGAGTTTAGAAGCCTTAGCGAAAAGTTCTCTAGAAACCAAAGAAAGAAATGAATTTTAAAATCATATTTTTAAATCTGAAAGAGACTTGCTCACTTTCAAATAATTTCTAAGACAGGTCATTCTTTTCTTCCCATTCTGGAACCAGAGGTCACGATTATTGAGGGTCGCAATGAAAGTGCTGAGTCACAACAGGACAGTGTGGGTCAATAAAGAGTTGGGGGTGGTCAGCGATCTCTATAGGATATAAAAGGTGTAGCATCTAGACTTTAATGGTTAACTGGCCAAATAATTACATCAACTGTTAATAGCAGAATTTTGTTTCTACTTTAGGCTCCTCTGGTCTTTATATGGTAACATAGTGTTAGCCTAGGTTTAAGGAAGAAAAACCAGAACATATTTGACATAATTCAAGCTGTTGTGAGGTAAGAATTTTGAAAATAACAAACAGGTTATATTACAGGTCATGTTTCCCAGGAAGAAGACTGGGAGACCAAATTCCCTTGCAGGAAGTTTATTGGAGGGAGTTTTTGGGAGGACCTGTAGAGAAATGAAGAAAAATTTGGGCTGTGGAGGTCACAATAAGGGCTCAATTTATCCCATAAGAATATTTGTACTGTGATTTGTAGAGTTGTCCCAAGTTGGAGAATTGGATAATGACCAATGCCATGCAAAAGAATGAGGAAAGGATAATTTTATTTTATTAGAAAAATGTAGCACACTCATTGAGTTGGGATTGGTGGAGAACATATATGTCTCTGTTGTCCTCACTCAGAAGGACTAGAACAGACTCCCAACAGCAGTGTAAGAGTATTCATTCTCCCTTCCTCAAACACTTATTGAGTACCTACCATGAAATAAAGATGTATGGGGAAATAGACCAAATCCCAGAAAGCATAATGTTGACTTTACTCCTTTCCCTCCCCAAGCACCTGATTTCCTGGTGTAGAACAAATATAAGGTTCAGTGATGATTTGAATTTCTAATCAACTTTTGATGTTGATAATGTATACTTAATAAAGAGAAGGGAAAGACTTCAAGAGTAAATTGTGAGTGAGCAAAAACTAATGTTTAACTCTAGATTTTGACCATAATGTTCATTTATACCAACTAAATGCTTTGAAACCTATCATGCTTCTTATTAAATATCCTTTCCCTGTATGTCCAGATTGCCAGTGTTTTACCTTCCTGTCTCTGCATCCTGCTACTTCCCCACTCTGGTATGTTCTCCTTTGGGCTAATAACTACTCACGCTGTGATTCATCCTTTACTGCTTTCCTACAAACTCATGGCCTATGTCACTACTTCTTCCCCCATTTTCACCTCTTCCTATGATGTAGAGCAAAGGTTGAAGCAAGTTGAGGAATAACATTAGGGCTGAACACAAGAGAAATTGTCAGGGAAGGAAGGTCTGGAGGGAAAGAGATACACCCAGAACAGAACAATGACAGTTCTGGCCTTGTTCTGTAATCCTCTCCTTCATACCACGGCCATCATAATTATACTGATTCCAAAGGAACCACATTGTGTCCCACATAGCTTTCACTCTACCACAATTTGGCAAACCTGTCACAAAGTGAAAATGAGAAGTAATTACTTGTGATCTAATTCCTCAGACCTGTAGCTTCTCTTGGATTGACTCATTCTATTTGCTCCACATATTCTTTTCCCTTAACACCACTAATGATATACCAGAGGGAAAGAGGCTAAGTCAGTCAACAAGTGGAAATGTTAGGTGTTCATGGAAGGGCAGGGTGGTTGTGGTAAGGTATTTACATGATTGTATAATGAAGAATGGTAGTGGCCAAGAATGTGGTGTTGATTTGTAAGGCAAGAGTTAAAGAGTCAGCAAATCATTGCTCTGATGGGCGCTACTGGTCTTTGGAGAAGAATGGCAGCCAGTAAGGTTAAGCCTGAAGAGA